ATTGCTACCATCCTCGAGTACCTGGCTTCGCCGCGCAACGAACAAATTGGATCGAATTCAATGGACTCAGAACACAAAGGACCAAGACACATAGTAAGAGGAGCAATCCGGGAAGACTCATTATTCGGACTCATCAAGAACGGACTGAAAGACTCAGAAGACATAGCAAACATACGACAACTAGGACTACAGATGACACAGACACATAGCACACAGAGCACACAGAGCACCCAGAACACACAGGACACACAGAAGACACAGGCTAGCAGCGAGACACCAATAGTATCATGGACACAGAGCGGATTACTCTTATACAAAAACAGAGTAGTCATACCAGAGGGACAGGCAAGATTAGAAGTAATGAAAGCAAGACACGATTCGATGCTAGTGGGTCATCCAGGAAGAGACAAAACTATCACCATGGTCAAAGAGGACTATTACTGGCCACATTTGGACGAGTATATTGCAAAATACGTAAAAGGATGCGAGATCTGTAACCGACACAAGACTCATCGACACCAGCCGTATGGACATCTGGTCTCTTTACCAGTACCCACACTGCCCTGGACAGATATCTCTATGGATATGGTGGGACCCCTACCAAAATCGACCGAGTTTGACGCGATACTAGTGATAGTCGATCGACTAACCAAGATGGCTAGATTTATTCCATGTACAACTGGACTAACAGCGAACAAAGTGGCCGACATCTACATCAAGGAGATCTTTTCAAAACATGGAGTACCTCGAACAATTGTATCAGATAGGGGAACTCAGTTTACAGCGGAAATTTGGAAGGAGATATGTCAGTTCCTGGGAATAAAAAACTTATACTCGACTGCGTATCACCCTCAAACAGATGGACAAACTGAGCGAGTAAATCAACAGATGGAAATCCTGCTCGGAATGTATGTAAACTACAACATGGACAATTGGGATCAACTTCTACCAATTGCTGAGTTCGCTTATAACTGTTCGCCACATAGTAGCCACGGTCTGTGTCCCTTTGAAGCCTGTTACGGCTATGTGCCACACTACGACATCCATTCGCACGATATTCGATCAAAGTCAAACAAGTTGGAGAGGAAATGGAGGGATATGGGAGAGTTACATGCGGCTGTTCAAGAACAGGTCAGGATGGCTAATGAGATTAGTGCCGAATACTACAACAGGAGACACAAGAGTATACCAGAAGAATTCAGAGAGGGAGAACAGGTACTACTGAGTACGAAGTATCTTACGACGGAAAGACCCAGTCGAAAATTAGAAGCAAAATACGTTGGCCCCTTCAAGATCATAAGGAGAGTGGGGAAAAATGCTTTCGAATTAGATCTACCTCCATCAATGAGAGTGCACAATGTCTTCAATGTCACGTTGTTGGAACCATATCCTAGAGACATGATACCAGGTCGACAGATACAACCCCCACCACCTGTAGTAATAAACGGCCAGGAGGAATTCCATGTGGAAGCAATTGTGGACAGTAGAATTCGACGAGGAAAGGAGGAATTCAAGGTAAAATGGTTAGGATACACAGGAAATGCGGCCTATGACTGGGAACCACGAGAAAATGTAGAAGAGTTGGCCGTTTTTGGTGAATTTCTGGAAAAGAGGAAAAAAGATCCCAGAAGAAAGTGAGAATTCGATCAAAATCAACGGAATTTATTGGGAAATAAATACATACACAGGAAATATGGCTACGTATAGAGAGATATAAAATACACTAGAAGTTGGAGGTGGTAGAATTGGCTCGGGGACGACGGACCGAGGCGGGAATACGAATGACATTGCGGGGGAGAGGAGTATGGGGAGAAGAGGAGGGACCGGCGACTGGTTGAGAAGAAGTCAATCCGGTTGGATCAGCAGCAGAGAAACGCACAGAATTCTGTAGAACTCTCACCAATTTCCGAGTCTTTTCGAGCATCCAGAGCCTTAGCAAGTTCATCATTGACCGGAACCTTGCGAGGGGCGTGAAAAATGGTTTCGAGTTCATGGGGAACCTCGACAAGCCCCTCGGAATCAGAAGGTGGCACAGGGGACTTATTACCAGGAGAATTTTGATTTTCAACGATGGTACCGTGTTCGGACTCGACAGATTTCGCAGGAGATGGGTTCTCACCAGTGGTAGATGGCCCTGCCCCCGCTTCGAAGTCGATATATTGCTCGATGACCTCGTCATCGAGAAGAGACGATTGTTGGTCGCGAGAAGGGCCGGATTGATATCGATCCTTAATGGTGTCGAGAGCCCTGCGAGAAGCGTCAACCAATGGAGTTTGAGAGGGAACTGGCGCTTGGGAAGTAATTCTCATTCTTTTCGTTTGACGCATGAGAAGTTCGGGATCGACGTCGGGGAGAATGGCCACAGTAGAGGCCCGAGTTTGACGAGAAGAGATAGACGAGGACAACTAATCTCGTCAGCCAGTGATAAACAGGAGGAAGTGCATCGAATTCGAAGAGAATTGCTTACAGTACGCTTAGACATGCTCACAGACAGGTCAGAGTTGGAAGGATGCTCTAAGATATGAGTGAGATATGGATGGATAATGATAGATAAGTAAAAAGAATGACAAACAAGAGGTAAAGAGAGAATGAGGAGGAAAGAAGAGAAAAAAGACGGGGAGGTAACTTGGTCAGTAATTTCTCGATCACATTGGAGGTCCGTGCGGGTGACGCGTTTTCATGGCAACCATCACACTAGCGTGGGTATGATGTCAGGGCGCACCAAAGGTGTCTAAGAACAATCCATGTGCATCACCTGGTTACAGGGTTCAGGATCCTCGGCGAGGATCCTTGAGACAGGGGGGGAAACTTGTTACGGGGTAACAACGAATCGAGGGAACTCTATCGAGTTCGACGGATTAGGACAGAGGAAAGCGGGAGTTGGAGGCAGTGCTGCAGTAGGTAGGGACGGGTTTTCCCCTTTCGAGATTTTCCCCACTGGGTTTGCTCAAAGCGGTTTTTCACCTGTCCGAGTATGTACATGGACGCTTGCAGTAGGACTGAGAAGAGGAGACGGATACCTGTAGACAGTATATAGTACAATCAGCAAAGTACCAACTTTGCTGATTCTTCAATATCATTCTTTGGCTACATCGATTGCAGAGGAGACACGATCCATTAAGCACCAGAGCCCCTAGACTTCCACGAGACCTCCATCGAGTTCGACCCAACCTGCGACCTAGTCGTCGTGTTTCCAGTACCGTTACACTATGCACTCAAACCCCTCGAGATTGGTGCATGACCTTACCTAGTACAAATAAGTCATATGACCAAGCCAGATGAGGCAAAGATCAGACTACCTGATATCTGCCTTGCCCCTCAGAGATAAGTTCAGGTCAAGAATTGCTCAAATAGCACGTCTCAGTCACTCCTGCGGGCCGCAAGGATATGTCCGAGCCCAAGCGTTCAAGACCTCAAGTCCTCTCTGGGCTTCAACTATCTGGTATGAGAAGGGAAAGTGTATCTATCCCCTTTGTACTCTTTGACTTCTCCTTCAGATATCATCTAATCTTCAGGTATGATGCTTTCCTTTAAAGATCTCCCTTGAGACATAAGCTTATTCACCCTCAGATTCAAATCCAGATTACCTCCTCCCCATTTTTCTCTTTCCTCTCATCTTCATTTCTTACTTGGACTCTCTAACTTATCCCCGGCAACAACTCACTAAGAACAATGTCCACTCAAGAAAATGTGACCGGAGCAAGCTCCAAGACATTTGATCCTGTTCTTTTTGACACGTTTGAAGCATATTTCACCATTTTGGGCCTTCCTCAATATAAAGTAGAAGGACAACAGTGGTCGCAGGAAGACAGTCAGTGGTTTGAGCTCGATCACTTCCTAGAAGACGATTGCAAGGTTGATGATGATGATCAGTGGGCTAAGGCATTTTATGTGGCTTGTTGTACTAGTCCCACAGGTGAAGCAACATTATATCAACTCAATGACGGTCAATGGATGACGGTCAATGGGTTTCGGCTACAAATTCTAATAATCTCAGATGTCTCATAAAAGTTACATGGCAGCCTATAGTTCCCTATCTGTTTGCGGGATATCATACTGATGTCAATGGGGAAAGCGTAGCAACATTCATCAGATTTGACAAAGAGATCACGAACCTGAAAATGAGACCACGCCTAGATATGAGCCAGATTATGAGGATCTCAGAAGGTGACTTTGGCACAGTACGTAAATTGAGGCTCTTGAATCGCTCCGACGTGAATCTGTCTGACAGCCCTCCGGAGCCTTGCATCTTCCTCACCCGCACAGCCTTTGACGCTTGTACAGGAGGGAGATCTGGTTGCGAACCCTCGTGGGCAGACCAGAAAAGTAACCTGTTCCAGCAATATAAATACGCTCCTCGACCTAAAGCAAGCATAATGAGTATCGAGGAGATGAGATAGAGTGAGCTCGAGAGCTTAGTCGCATCCGTTAGACGAGACGATGCATAGGAATCCGAGAGTTGCACCAACCCGGAGTAGTATCCGTCAATGTCAACAGAGAGGACGTCAGAGTTCCCGTCACCTATCATGCTTTGATAACCTCTTTAGGACTCGCGTTCCTCCTTCGCTAGGTCAGCGTAGGGTCGTGAGCAGAAGCGAATCAGTGAGACAAGATTAAGATGGTGTTTGACATCTTCACCTGATCACCACGTCAATGCAAAGATCAAAATCAATGAGCTTATGAACAGCAAGACGGGTCAGTAAAGTACTTGTACTTTTTTTTATTAAAATTCTAACATGACCTATTCAGATTTCCTTCCCAAGATGATGACCTTATCTCCTCTATCTACCTTTATTCCCCACCCTCCACTACTCTCCACACCTTTCTCCGCACACGTCCCTAATTTCCCATCCCATTTCCCTGTCCATTTAATACCTTCAAACCCTCGCACGGACCCCACTTTCTCCCAACCGACATGATCATTCACCATGCTCTCTCCTTCTTTGACGCCTAGTACCATATAATCTATCCCTGCATCCCATGCACCTTGAGCAGTGAGAAGAGAGGGGGTTTCATCTTTCGAGTACACCCATAGAGGTTGCGATGTAGAGGGGAACACACCACCGTGAGGAGAAGTATGGAGGAAGGTGAAGAGTGATGCACCAGTCTGAAGAGGATATGATGAAAAGTGGATAGTAGCTGTTGGTCAGATTGTGATCGTTGGGATTGATGTATGACTCGCTTTACATGGTGCGAATGGATCAAGTACTCCGAGAGAGGGTGGCAATCGACCAATCAGATTGATTACAGCGGGTCGGAACTGGTGAGAGGAGGAGGAAGAAAAGGGAGACAAGATGAGAGAGACGGAAACAAGAAAGTAGTGGACGAGGTTTCAGTAAAGAAATACGGGAGGGGGAAGAGGGCAAGCCAAGAGGAGAATCCTAAAAACCAAGAAGTGACCAATGTAGTACTCGAAAGAAGTGGGGAGTCTAGGAAGTGAACGGGAAAAGGAAAGGGCAGCAACACACCATTCTTCGGAATATTGAGCCCTTCGAGAACTTGCCAAACTTCACCCCCCGGATAATTTTGAGAACTCAACCATGTCATCCCCCCCGCCACGGCCAAATTCACAATCACCATCCCAACCAATCCAAGACGGAACAAAATCCGGAATTGTTTTTGAGGATAGCTCCACCTATTTTATCAACATCATCGTTTCATATTTGGTAGGATAATGAACGTACATTTGGGCGGCTGTGATAGCAGCTAAAAGGTTGAGGACAGGTATCACATAAACAATAAATCTCCATTCCTGTCAATCAATCAGTTATTCATAAACCTTCGTCAGTCACCATCATACAGAAAGGTGGGGGAATGAATAGAGGTTTCGAATGGTTGACTTACTTTATGTCCTATGAAACTCATACCTCCTACCATCGTGATGATAGCTGGTCCGAAGATACTCGCCACTTCCCCCCATTGAGCAGAAAAGACTTTGAAACCTTTTACTTTGTTTCCAAAACCTAGACGAACTCCAGACCAGGCCCCAAGTCCGAAAAGGAACAAGGGTAGACTTCCCAGAAGAAGTTTGGGTAAAGAATTCGTGAAGTAATAATGTCGACTCATGATTCCCCATTCGGCTGCACCTCCTTCGAGGACGTTGTAGGCCATCGAGGAGGCTTCGGGCCAGATGATCTGCCATGTGGAGGTGAATGTGGGTAAAGTAGGATGAGGAAGAACTTGACGCCAGAGATAATAGTCGAGTGGGGCGGATATAGCTGTGGATGAGCCTTGCTAAAATCAATCCCAGAAGCACGCAACTGTTCAATAGGCAAGGCTTTGTAAAGGGATGGGAAGAAAGAAAGAGAAGAAAACGGGGAAGAAGAGATAGTACAAGTTGTGATGCGGGAAGTGAGATGACATACCTAATGAGCCGAAACCACCAAGAATACCAGCTCGTAATGCCGCCATCAGAGAAAGTCGCCGTGTGACCACTAGTGTCAAGGTGAGGGGAAAGACGAAAAGTGCTAATTCTAATCGGATAACCGTGGCTAGGCCAGTCAAAAGAGCTATGGCTCCTGATAATCGACGTTGCTTCACAAGCTCCGGGCAGCTGAGGGTAGACCGTAGAATCAAGGAGACGGAAGACATGACTGGTGGTCAGAAATAAGAGTTCAAACTCGGGCAGATTTTGACCAGTAGCATGATTACGAGACTTGCAATTACCATGGGAAGTACAAAGTCGAGTTGCCGGAGGAATCGTGATAGGTAGAGAGCATGTCTACCACAGGCAGAGAGAGGTCACTCGGGGGTGGAATGGTGGGATAAGGAGAGGAGAGGAGAGGAGAGACACATACCAAAAGGTAAAGCTAAAAAATTAGGTAACGTCCTCCCAGCATAAAAAGGTAAATGAAAAGCTCCAAGAACAAACAAGACAAAAAACCGTCTAGTCAAAGACCCATATCGCGCCCTGACGGTCTGTTGAAGATGGGCAAAGGTCGCTGAAAAGAGGAAAGCTAGAACAGAGCGGACTAAATATCAGTCGACCCATTCAAGATTTGAATGAAAACATGTCCACATGATACTGTTACAGCCATACACGATGTGCCGAGTTGTACGTATCGTCGTACGACCCTATCGGGGAGAATCGAGGGTTCTAGAGCAGTGTGAGGGGGCAATGGAACTCATGAGAGACAGGTCTTCAGAGTTTATCTAGGTGATACACGGACTAAAGGAGATGACAAAATGTAGATTTAGACAGAAAGATATGGATACTCACTCAAAATTTGAACTCCCAATTTTGTCCGTATGATCCCGACGTTCACCAGTAAAGAACAAATAGGCCATGTCAAGATACCTAATAAAACAGGAGGAAGGAAAGATCTAGGTACGGCACCTGGGAAAGATAGATGATCCCACTATTGATTAGCTTCTCTGTCAACGGGAAATAATCAGATATTCCACATGTTATTCTGTTTTGTATTCGATGTTGACATTCCATCCCATCAAAAATCACTTCTCTTCCACTCTCGGCTCCCTCAGATTGGGCAATCAGAAAAAAAGAAGGGGAATGGAATGATATCAATCCTCTTTGTACCTATCCGTTCCTTACTTCAATATCACTATACACATCACTCAACTGATTAGATATCATATTACACGTCACCCAACGAGAAGGGAAATCGAAGAGAAGGGAACAAAGGGGTGGAAAGGTTGTGTGATCGTATCAAAAGTAGATGGAAGATTGTAAAACTCACCTTGTGTAAACTCCCCGGTCTTAAACCATAAGCCAGAAAATCATGTACAGCATGAATCTCAAAAGATTCCTCTACTTTGGTATATGGTATCCAAACCACTTGGTTGATAGTGATTATCAGAGCTAAAAAGAAAGGTATGACTTGTTTGAGTTTCCTTCTTGTTCGAGTTGGTGAATGTGCCATATCGTTGGAATTGCTGATATTCTCTTTTACTTGCTTTGAGGACTCGGGGGAGGATAAGGGGTCGACCATCTTTGATATGAGAATGTATATTCGAGTAAGTGCTGTAGTCGGCCGAGGTGTGCTCGTAAGTGAGTAGGAGCGATCGGCGAGAATCTCTTTCGGCCGGGGCCCCCGTGTCCCTAGGTACCTTTTCAAGGGGCCTGTGAGGCCTGTGAGTGGATAGATGGTAAGGACAAAGTCAAAAATAGAAAGAAGAAAAGGGGGAAAGGCGAAGAAAGAGTGAGGGAAAGAAAGAAAGTAACAAGTGAAATAATATATGCATGCAATTAGTCTATGCTACATTCTATTAAAGACACCAGAAGTTATTCACTCAAAAGATGACATTCGATAGTCCAAGACGGTTCATCTCGAAAAGAGACATTCAAACCCTTTCTTCCTCTTCTTCCACTTCGGCAAATATCTTTGTTTCTCTCTCACGTCTATCTTGCCAGCTGTAAATGGCGAATTGACCCATGACGAAAAGATCGAATACGATAGTCAATAAAGCTCCTGCTAACCATGAAGTGTTGACGAGGATGTAATGAGGGTCTGTCGAGACTGATAGTATTGAGACTGCGTAGGTGATATCTGATATCAGTTACTGACTGGCTTCATCCATCACTTTCAACTCTCCAAAAGACAGGAAGTTGAATGAGAAGAGGAATAGTGAGGGAGGAGAAGAACGGGGCAGGAAAAGATGTTTGACGACTCACTCCCTGTGATAGTGAAGAAAAACATCGCTAAACTCAAACCCGCGCATCTGGTCTTACTAATCTATCAGCTGGAACTAGTAACAACCCAAGAGTAATCTCACAAATTATGAATAATCTGAGGAATTCGACTTCCCAAATATAAAGTCGCACTGATATAACCCAACGTTTGAGATTTCCATTCCAATTCAACGTCCCCACCTCGACCAGGTCCTTCAGGTATGCCAATCTCATCATGAGAATCAGATAAGAACCAAGCGAAGATACCTGCACCAAGGACGAAAGTTAACAATAAAGGGTATTCCAATCCTGGTGGTAAGAGTGGTTTGGGTTGTGTAGGTGGATTAGATGCAGAGAGCAGATGCGTGGTTTCATCGTTTGTTGGGGGAGGAGTCCGACGATAGTAATATACTTGGAATAAAAGGATGAAATCGCATAAAGCGTACTTTTCATCAGCTTTCATTCACCAAATTGTTCTCTCTTGAGTTAAGAACATATCAGACAGGAGAGCAAGGTGTTAGGTGAGAGATACGCGAGGACCCATGATGCTTTGAGGATCACTCACGTAAATAGCCAACAAAATCATAGTTGTCAATACGTTGGCCATTATACCTCCAGCGAGATTGGTCAGATCTCCCAATAACCATAACACCACAAATGTCACCGAGAGCCCTTCACCTGATTTGAGCTGGTAATTCTCCCATATTTGTGGTGTGCTGTGGGTCAACTTACTCTCCTTTCACAATTTCTACACGAGTACGAATGAATAGGGTAGAAAATACTCACTAAACAACTATCCAACATGCTATGGACATCCATCCAGACTGACAAGTGAGCTTTGTCATAACGAGGAGCGATGACACACTCACGATGGATGACAACTCGAGGGAAGTGATCGGGAAGGACATGTTTGAATTCTCGATGGTACACCGCTATAAGCTGAATATTCGGGGATGATGATGTCAAGTCACGGCTACGTTACACGAGCACTGTCTTTATGAGGACTATAAAGTATGTACTGTACTGTAATACTCTATGTAGAGTATGTATGTTCAAAGTGTGACTCGGTGAGATTTCCGAGTTTGTCACGGATCAGGGCACGGACCTCTCACTTTTCATGATAACGTCATTTGATAAGAATCCCACGTCATGTCTCACCCAACCTTAGCCAACTTACTCTCCTCATACGCGCACAGCTTCCCTCTCCCACTCCAGTAGGACTACTGTACAACTGATACAAACTCTACTATGCAGTCTCACCCAAACCCATTCTCATCATCACCTTCACCTTCACCCACTCCTACTATCATATCACCTACCACTTCCCCAACCCCTTTACCACCTTCTTCTGTCTCTTCCCCAACGCCCTCCAACGCCCACTTACGAAAGACATCTTCCCTTCTTTCCGCCGCTTCAGGTTCCCCTCCTCCCACTCATCGAGCCAGTTTCCCAGACCCATCCAAAGAACCTAAGCAGGCAAGTAAATTAGGAAATTTATTCATGGGACCTAAAGTCAAAGATGGGTTCTGTTGTGATAGAGATAAAGATATCAACGGGGGAGAAGAGATTTCGATAGTGGATGCTTTTAAAACTACTGAAGGTGGTAAAGCTTCTTACATCACTTATGTGGTCAAACTTGGGGTATGTTCATTTTGACTACTATGATCTTCACCCTCCATACCTTTTCGATAGCTACTCCCACGCCCCGCATCAGATTACATCACACCCTTTTGCAATGTATGGGAACAGAAAAGTACGCTTCTATAGATGGAAATATGGGATGAGATCACATCAGGAGGTTCTGATGAGGAAGAGATCGAAAGCTAAGATCATAGAATCATACGACCAGACGCAGATATTCATCTTTCTTACAACTCCATCAAGCACTATCCGGCCTTTACCCAGTTTTGATTATCCCTCCGATACCTAGCAAACAATCTATCGCGGATTACGCTGTGAAGGGTCAATCAAAAGCTAAAGAAGATGCTACTGTCATCGCTCGTCGGAAGAGACTGTTGGAAGATTTCTTGAGAAGATTGGCGAAACATCCTATTTTGGGTGGAGAACATGTCTTCCATCGATTTTTGGAAGATGGTGTTAGCTGGGTGGGTCCTTCTGTCTGTCCACAACCAGATAGCATCATTATTGGGACTATCCTCACGACTACATATCACTCTTTCTAGGGAAGGTAAAAGAAAGGTCACAGATTGATGGGTCGTCGGTTTGACCGGGAGATTATTACTGACTCCCAGTCCGAAGTCATGCAATCACCTCCTATTTCTCAACTCCCCAAAAATCCCCTTCACACTCCTTCCCACAACCCAACGTTCCAACCCGCATCCCCTACTTCCCCATCAGACGACATTCCTCCTCTTTATATCGCCCATCACCTCCTTCCTACTCCCTCCCCCACTCATCCCCTCCAACACCCCGATCAGAGATTTATCGATAGTGAGGTGTTCACAGAGAAGTTCCAGAATCATTTTCAGGGCCAGATGGAGAAGGTCAATCGACGTGTCGTGAAACGCTGGGGTGAGAGAGCGGGGGATATGTCAGAGCTCGGTGCGGCCTGGAATGGTTTTAGTCTGGTCGAACCTGGCAAACTAGGAGTGGCTATTGAGAAAGTTGGACAAGCAGCGGATACAGAATACTTAGCTACTGCTGCTTTGGTGAGTCTCTGATTTCTCACTTGACCTACTAAATTCCCCATCCCCCATTTCAACCCCGGAAGATCTCGCTTCCCAGCCAAAGTCTAAAGTCAATTGGTGAAAGGATGTGATGAAAGTTGTATCGTAGACCAAATGCTGAAACAAAGCTACAAGCATGGGAAAGAACCACCACTGAACCTCTTCACATCTACAGTCAATTCGCCGTTCTCATACGCTCCCGTCTCTCCTTCCGACACCAAAAACATGTCCAATATGAGCTGGTGGAAGAAGCTCTAGAAACTCAAAAAGACAAGTTGGCAATTTTAGAAACGGCAGAACGTGAAGCTCGGAGGTTGGACGAAGCGCTCGAACGTGGTGGTAGTATACATCAATCGAGGTCAGCTTTACCTCCTGAAGAAGAACGGGAACAGAGGGAGAGAGATGAGGAGAATCGGGAACGAGCTGCTCGACGGTCTGGTCAAGGCTTTGGACTGTTGAGCGCTATGAGACATAGTTTGAGTGGGATGATGGATGTTGATCCGGAAGCGACGAGGAGGGCGAACATAGGGAAGACGAGAGATAATATCTCGCAGGTGTGTATCTCCTATCTGCTGTGTCTCTTCCGCTCCTTACGGTAACATCAGCTGACTGTTCTAGCTCGAGGACTCGCGTCAAGCCTCTGCGCAGGATCTGAAATACGCTTCCACTACTTTGCAAGCGGATCTGGACAGGTTTCAAAGACAGAAAGTCGCCGATCTTCGTCAATTGGCTATACAACTGAGTAAAGTGCATAGAGAGTGGTGTCGTCAGGTGAGTCGCTTCATTCTAGACCTTGACCCTCACCTGGCCAAATAGATCTAGCCTCTCTCTTTGTGCGGCACTATCACGAGTAGTGGTTGTCTCCGTCATGCTCCCTCAAAGTACAAATAGTGATCACGACATAAACTTGTATCCATCCACTGACTAGTCCGTAGACTTGTGTGATATATGCTCATGCGTAGAACCTAGAAGCATGGCAAGCAGCTTCAGCAGCTATAAAAGAAATCGAGTCTCATCCTAACCACCCACCTCCTTCCGCCTCTCCGACTCAAACAACCAAACTCGATCTTGGAGGTATGTCCAACATGTCTGATCTGAGGGATGAGATTGATCGTGTGGACGCTGCCAACATTCCTCTTCCTCTTCCCATAGCGGAGAACGAAGTGGAGGGGAAAGGTAAAGGTAAAGCTGTGGAGAGTGAGGTGGGATTAGGACCTTTGTGATATCTTGATGAATTATGATAGTATGAGTATGTGATGATGCATGATTTAAACTTGTAAAATTTATCAAGTTCTTTGTTGCATACCTCTCCTACATATACTTTTGCAAGTGTGAATGTTGTTGTATGGTTTGTCTTGGTGGATAAGGGGGATTGAGGGTGGTGCGACCGGGGCCCAAGTGGAGGGCGAGTCGGGGAATATTTATTTATTATTATTATTGATTTTCCCAAATCCCACTTTCTGGGAGAAAAGCACCCGCGTCCAAACATGTCCCCACTTCCTTCCTTCCTTCACTTTCTTCATTCAACTCTACTTCTCCTACCTCTTTTCCAACTTTGTCACATGTTGACACGTCTTACCAACTCGTAATCTCGCTCTCTGCTCCAATTATTACCCCATACGACGTTGGTCATACCATACATTTCATCACATTCGTTCATTTTATCTGTAGGAGAGATCATTCAACCCTCCTCAGGCACCCAGCCTTCCGACGTTTGGGAATCATTTTCAACTTCAATCATATCGCTCATCCAGTTTCACATAACATCCATCCCAATAATATCTAGGAGTGGGTGATATATATCCTCCCACCTTCCGTCTACTTTCTTTTTGTTCGAAGAGCGAAGAAGGTAGCGAAATTCGATCAAGGTAGGAGCTTCAACTAAGTAAACACCGACCTCAACCTGAACTTTGACATTGACATCGAACAAAACAACCTTAAACAACGAATCTGTTGGAAGAGGTCACCCGACAGAAACTTTGTTATAATTGAATAGGAGAAACAAGACCCTCGAAGTAAAATGGACGAAGGAGGTGCGACGCCAATCCTCCCTTCTCACCACGAATTAGATCGTTGTCGTTTAGAATCAACAGTGGATTACGATTTAGCTTCTTTATCACTCAACACACTTTCTTCCATTTCTTCACATCCTTATCCCTCACAACCCCCAAAACCTACTCATCCTCAATCTCATCCCCACCCATATCCCTCTAATCAATCCAATAACAATTCAAGAAACGTTGGTAATTTTTCAGGAAGAAAACCTCACTCGGATAAAGATGATTTTTCAGATTTATCTTCTCTCGGTTCTGTCGAATATCCCAGAGGGGTTGAACGTAGTTTTTCACTTGATCATTATTCTCTAGGACCTCATGGAACACCTAAACCTAGATCTAGAATACCAATTGGGATAACGGGGAAATATGATTCACCGGTCAGTACGGTTGGACATCATGTTAGTGCTGCTACGTTGGCAGCGGGGGTGTTTAGGAATGGAAAAGAGATGGATGGGGACTGTGATGACGATGAGGATTTTGATCCGGAACGAAGTTTGGGGAGGCTGGTAGGGGAATTAGGTAGGGTGATGAGTGGGGTAAGTGATTCTTCTTCTGTCTCTTGTTCCACCACACTCCCCTTTATGAATCTCTTTCTTGATTACCTAAATCCCATTTTCCCTCTTGTCTCCCCCTTGGTTGATGACTGACTTTCTACCATTGGTTGTACGGGTACACGACTGTGATCTCGTGAGGATATTTGGAGGATAATAGAAGGAGTGCTGATCAAGAAGAAAATCTCACCCAGACCTACTTCCCCTTTCTCTCCCCTCAGAAGTCCCCGATCTCCATCTCCCATAACCACCGCAGCCAATCTATCCTATACCTTAAATCGTTCCACCGCCCTTCCTTCTCCTCCCACCTCCCGGTCCAGCTCAGCCGAACCTCCTTCCGTATCCGGCTTCACCGCCGCTGCTCACCGTCTGGAAAAAGAACTCAAAACCAAATCGAGATCACAACCTGCGCCTCGTAGAGCTCTTAGCGACACCACCGCTCAGATACACAATATGGGCGCACCGGGACCTAGACGTAGTACTCGACCAACGATCTTAGGTAAAGAGGACGTACGCCCGGGGTCAGCACCACCACATGGGGATGTGACGGGGATGACGGGGTTGTTAGAAACGCCTGCAAAGGGCGCGGATTTTGGGTCTTTGGGAAAGAATGCGGAGTTGGGCGGGGAGACAGGAGGTAAGTTGATGGTCAAGTCTTAGTCTCCCCTTCGATACTCGCTTCATTAGGTAAAGGGGTGACGCGCGGGTCTGACGAATCGAAAGTCTGAGGAAATTGAAGAGCGAAAGTGGATAGGGGATCTATGAGCGTCACTGATCAGCAGGAGCCATACCACAAACACTCGCTACTCTACATGCCAGACTGAGAGCTTTAGAGACTGAAAATTCACTCTCTCGTCGGAGGGTACGAGAACTTGAGCAAGAGCTGGAAAAGGCCAAAGGTGAAGTGGAGACTGCCAAACGGGGTGGCGAAAGGAGACTTCGGGAGGTGATCGGGGAGAAGACGGGTGAGTAGTAAATCATCTCGTGCATTCTCTCACCGCCTGCGTTCACGATCGACTTGGATCCCTCCTGCTCATGTTCCTGTGACATCAACTGTAGAGACATGTGCAACTTAAAGTCGCCCAAGGAGAGACTGGTAGGAAAGAAGGTCTTCCGTCTGACAACCAGCTCTGGAGGACCTGGTCAAATCCCTTCGATCTCATCTCGCACGTCTCACTGTTGAACTCGAGCAAAACAAAACCCTCGTCAATGAACTCCGCGATCAACTCACCGCCGCTCATACTGCCGCTCGAGCAGACTATGACAGCTCAGTCAGAAACGATATTTCCTCGTTACGACAAGAAGTCGAGCGTCTGTCGAATGAGGTACAACGATTAGGCGGGATAGTGGAAGAAGGTCTCGAAACTCGTAAGAAAGCTAGAGGAGAGCGTACGATGCGTTTGGAAGCTGAAGAAGCTGAACGTATCGCCAATTTGGTCAAAGAACCAGAAACGATGTCCGAAAAGGTCTCTAAAGCCGAACGAGAATCAGAGATGGAACGTGTAAAAAGGGATGTGCAAAGAAGACAAGAAGAACAAGAAGCTGCGGCTGAATTGATTTCACTCAATGAGGTAGAACCGAGACCTTCAAAATTCCGTCAAGGATTACATGCTGCCGCAGTGGTAAATACTCAAATGATGCCTCCAACTGTTGAACCTCCCACTCGAACACATCCATCACGTCACCACGACCAATCGAGCCTTCCAACCCGGACGAACCATTCTCGTTCTCACTCTCATACTCATGCTCATGTCAATTTTCACTCTCAACCCCACTCACATATCCAATCCCTCCCGCAACAGGTAAATTCAAAACTTCAAGTGATCATAGGCGACAGAACCAGATATTCTGACGGTTCTTCAAGTAGCAGTTCGAGTTCGACCCGTAGAACAGAAAGACGTAAACCAGAAGGACCCAATTCACCTTTTCCAAGTATAAGAGAATCTGATGAAAAAGAATTTTTCTCTCCACGTCCAAAGGTCACACGTACTACACCTACACCTCCTTATGCCCCACCTCTAATATATGCGGATAAAGAAAAGGTTCCTTCTGGGGGATATGAGAATGTGAAGGATTTGGGTGATGGGAAAGGGGATAAATCGAGATATGAGATATTACCTGAGAGTGTTAGAAATACTATTGAAAAGAAAGGAGAAGTACCACCACAGACTGTTCTGGCTAGGGTAATAGGGGAGTTAGAAGCTGATTTTGGGCATTATAGAGCGTAAGTTCAATCACGTTTCATTTTCTCAATTGAGCTGCAGTACACTTCTTCTGAGATGGTTAGTCAGTGAAGGCTAATGACTTTAGGATTTACGCAGAGTTAGCCGATCAATACAAAGTATTGGATCCAGCTAGTCATATTGCTAAACGACACGTACTTGCGGATCATCTACGAGAAGTCATCGATACTCTCGAACATAAAGCTGATCAAATTTCGGCATTATACGAATTACTATCAGTACATGATCTACCGTCTACTCATTCTCACGATGAAAAAAAAGTCGGGCAAGGGAAAATTAGGAAGAGCGTACCGGATATAGTTAGGATGGTAAGGGATAGTTTGGGTGAAGAAGGTTTGAAAAGGTTGAAGAAAGATGGGATTAAAGTGGCTGGATTGACTTGATCCTCTTTCGACGTCACTCAATCAAAACCCTTCTTGTCTGTTTTTCCACACATACCCTGATTTCATCCTTCCCTCTTATTCATTCAAACTGTTTTAACTTGCCTCCCTTACCTTCAAATCGTCCAGGTGTGTCGATGAATTCGGTTTTCTCATGATCCATTCGACCCTTATCGTTTAGCCAGATTCTGGGGAAGACTGATAGGGAGGCAGGGGGACAGGACGAGATGGTTCGATTGGATGATGATACATAAACATATCATGATTGAGGATTAGTATCTTGCTATTATGGTGAATCTCAAGTATGTTCCATTACCAAAAGATTGGGGTGACTTGGTTGTTATTTTTGGACATTTTTTTTTCGATTCATAGGTTGAATGTGCATGCATGATGTTTTCCTCTCATTTTTTCGTTCTCCACAAATTATATTCGGACTCAATATTTCCAATACTGGATGAACACTCACACATGACATGATGACCGGAACGGCAAGAGATCAAATTTAGCTGGGAATTATTCCGACTGCTTTATGTTAGTTGCCAGTGTGGTAAAAGACGTATGTGAGTGTATGTATAAGTAGAAGAGGGTGATGTGTGACTAGATGTGATTGGCGCAAGACAAGGTACATATGACATATGACATGATAATGCATCATCAATATCTTACACTCGATGATTGTAATGGGCGAATGGACCGAGTTGATAAATCTCAGGCGGATGATGGATTATCAGGACAAAGAGGGTGTTATTGATGATGATGTTGTTGTTGAATTACTTGAGATTATGGAAGAAATCAAATTGTGAGATTATTCGCACCAGAGTATGGGGATAAGGGGATTATTCCAATCAGATAAGGTAAGTGGTACCAAATGAAGAATGGGAATGATACAGTAGAAAAAAGAAACCATTTTGATCATTCAAGTTGAAGATTAATCTCATCTGAAGGAGTATCAAGAGGAGTGAAAATGAGTTTTGGCATACCGGTCAAATGGACTTCATGTTGATCTTCATGTGGAGTTGGAGTTGCATTGAGGGGGATTGAATGTTTTTCGATTGTCGATTTGGATAATTCTAAGATGAGTAAATGAGCCTCGATCTCTCATATATAATCTACACAAAACGATCGTGTGACTCTCTTAGTTGATGAATGTTCTAAATGATCGTGGATTTGTTTCGAGAGTGTGCAGTATGTACATATGATGTCAATCCATTTCAGGGTTAGAAAGGGGACCAGAGAATTTTATAAAGGCTATGACTGCAAAAGAAGGGAATATCGAAGTGAGACTGGATATTTGGAAAATATGAAAACCCATGGGGTAGAATAAAATAGTGTCAGAACCCATTAGATTGAGTGGGATAGTTTGATGACGTATCAGATAAAGTGGGATAGTACATCACATTAGAAGGAAGAAAAAGTCCCAGCACACATCGTCAGACTACGTGAAACGACTAGAGTGAAGCAAGAGAAGAAAGAGAGAGTAGAAATGAACATACCAGAAGCAGCATCATCATCACAAATGACCAAAACATCTTGATGTCCTTTTAAAACTGAACAAGGCCATTCATCATTGATTTCTCCTTCTAAACACATTTTAATAGCTTTCGCTTTCTTTTTCCCAATAGCCAGAAGAACGATAGATTTGGAAGAAAGGATAGTTTGAAGTCCCATGGTTAATGCATGAGTTGGGACTTGGTCTATAGCTGAGAAAAAGCGGGACTGCAGTCAACGAAAAACCAATTTGGACCCTTCACGAAAGAAGGAAGAGGAGTTGGAAAAAAAAAAGCAGAAGATGTACAGTACTAAATAAAAGAAAGGAAAGAAGAATGAAAGAAAGAAAGAATGAAGGAGAACTCACATTGGCCAAACGAGTTTCAACAGTTAACATCACCATCCTTGTCCCTTCTCCGACTTGTGAGAAAGGTTCGTTGAAACCTAAATGACCATTTTCACCAATACCAAGGAAAAGTAAGTCCATACCTCCTTCTTTCACCAAGAGGTCTTCGTAAGCTTTACATTCCGATTCAGGGTTAGGTGTGAGACCGTCCAGTAAATGCGTTTGAGAAGTAGGAATATTGATTTTAGAGAATACTTCATGTTTAGCAATGAATCATTTGAACATGAAGATAATTAAACTTCAAATGACGATCATCCGATTGTCTGACGGTGTGGTACCAAAGCAACCCAAGCACCAAAGCGTCAAAGCGTCAAAGCAAGGTAGAAGCGAATGCTAAGTAGAGAAGGAGTGAAGTTTGAAAATTGGTGTATATCTGATGGGGGAAGAATGACAAACTGAAAGAAGCGACGGTGCTGGAAACCAGGAGTAGAGGAACAGAACATACAGTGTTTAGCCATGAAAGCCGCGTAACTCTCGGGATGATCAGGTTTCAAACCGACATATTCATCTAAATTGAAAGTCCTCACTTGCTGTCCGTCAACATCCGACTCATGACTTTTCCTCAAAAGAAATGACTCACCTCGAAATCGATCAAACCAGCTTGATACATCTTGACTAATTGTTCATACACCGGTATCGGCGTGGATCCAGTAGGGAGCCCAAGAACCGCATTAGGCTTCACTTTCACTTGGTCAGCGATGATTTGAGCCACCGCTTTGGCTGCGGAGAATGTGTCACTACTATCAACTCAAATTCCTATTCGCTTGTTTGGATAGAAGGAGGGATCAGATACTTACGTGACTACTAGTTTGATCTGTGATTTAGAGACTGGCATTTTGGTGATGTGATTGGTTAGTGGTGTATTAGCGGATTATGATGTTATGACAATCCTTTCGGAGGCGGAAGACAAGTAAAAAAATCGTGGGTCAGAACTCAATTGTCAAGAGGTAGAGGGTGATTGCTGGGCTATGAAGCATGCACTGAGGATATGTGATGAAACTCAGTGAAGGTGGGGTGGTTGAGAAGAATGAGAAGTGCTTTGGGACGAGATGAGGAGAGAGAAGGCGAGACTGAAGACCCGATTTGCGTCAGATATCAATGGACGTGGATGAAAGGATGTTGAGGTGTCTTCGTCCATTGGCAAATCTCGCATAGGGCGTCTTCCGTACGAGGAAGGCGAGGAGATCTTGGCGTGGGGAGTCCATTAGCGTAGTGTGAAGGTAGATCAAACACACCGAGTCATTTCGAGTAAAGTCAGGTGAGTCACACGAATCAGAAATGACGCACAGAGATGAAGACGACGACATGGATGAATGATGCCAAATGCATGGCGATTGACCAGAGCGGGGTGAAGATACTCAATGAAAAAAGTGCAGTTTGACTCATCCCGTCGCCGCTTTCCGCTCTGCTTCATATGGTTCTTCCACTTCAGGTTGCACTTCCCGCTGAGGCTGTTCTTTCACTGTGGGTCGACTTTTCCGTCCTGAGCGCCTGGGGGCTTTGGAGGATTGAGATGTAGCAGCTTTGTCTGGGGTTGAGGTTGTCGTGTCGGCTTCTATGGATGATGATTCGGGGTTTGTTTCAGGTTTTTCGACAATACTCCCAGGGTCAACGGCGTCCGGACCTGCAAAAGAAACACACCTGTCAACACTTGTATTCTATATATTGCTCACCGCCCTTCTTTCCCTCTTCCCAACCATTTCTCCAACCACCCCACTGCTCCTCCCACGGCCGAAGCCACCGATCCCGTCACGCTATTTTCGTCCCCACGTTCTTGCGACGTTTCAGGCTCAACCGCAGGAGGTGGGGGAGTAGGAGGGGTGTACCTACCACTAGAAGGATCATCCGATGGTGGTGGTACTTGAATCGGGGTGTCGAATGATACATTTGTTGGTTTCCCCTCTTCATCATCGGCGTACGCTTGCCACAACTTCTTCTGAAAAGGGGACAACGATCTGAGGAAGTGAGCTAGCATTAAAGTATATGATGAAGCCGTTCACTTACCTGGGCACCTGGATTCTCCAACAGACTACTAAATCACCTCTGTCCGATCCGGCCCCGGATCTCATTATATTTCTGATACCTCTTCCTCTCAGAACGGCTTCCTCACCACTTTGGGTACCTTCCCTCACTCTGACCTCCACATCGCCTTCCAACGTAGGTATCCGTACTTTCCCCCCTAATACCGCAACATGTAATGGGACCTTTGCATCATGATACAAATTCGTTCCTTGTCGTCTGAAAACCGCAGATGGTTTGATATTGACACGTACGAGAAGATCGCCAGGAGGACCAGAACCGGACAGAGGTGTATCACCAGCACCGGGTATGCGCATTTGCATTCCATCGTCAATACCAGCAGGTATATCCACATCCACATCCTTACGTTCTTTGATCCTACCCATCCCACCACAGTCTCCACAGCTTGCACCTTTCGGAATGGTAGTCCCTTCACCGCCACAAGAAGGACAAGTGGAAGCCATGACCATTCCTTGCATTGAGAACGTACGTTGTCCCGTTCCATGACAAGACGAACATTGGGTTTTTTTCTGTCCGGCTTTCAAACCGGACCCATGACACGTTTTACAGTCGACGACGGGGGTTACGGTGACTTTACGGGTGGCTCCATTACACGCCTCAAGGAAAGAAAGAGTGATTGAAGCTTGAAGATCATCTCCTCGCATGACTCTTGAAGATTGTCCACGAGAGGAGCCGCCAAATGCACCGAAAATCGATTCGAATATATCACCAACGTTTCCTGCTTGACCTCCGGGACCGCCGAACCCTTGGAAACCTCCGAATCCACCAGCCCCACCTCGAGCAAAGGCATCGGGATCGAACCCTTCTTGGGTGGCAGCGGAACCATATTGATCGTATGCTCGACGTTTCTTGTCATCCGAAAGGATCTAGAAGTCAGCCGAGAGACTAGGGGAGAGTCGGCTAGCTAACATCATAGGCGTTCTGGATCTCATGGAAACGTTCTTTGGCCCCGGCTTCTTTGCTAGAATCAGGATGCCATTTTTTCGCCAGCTATCTGATTAGCGTTCGAGTCGTGAATAAGACGCTGAAGCTTACCGAGTAGTAGGCTTTCTTGATCTCGCTAGAGCTGGCGGTTTTCCCTACCCCGAGAGTTGCATATAGATCACCAGCGGAAGCTCTCTGAGGAGGGGTCCAATGGAAGGTACGACGCTGTGATTGTATCTGAGGAGATAATGATGAATAGTGAGTGTGTGATGATGCTCCGCTGCATGTTGTCCAAGATCGGAAGGAGCGAGAGTGGAAGTCGGGTGAAGAACGTGGAGGGGGGTGAGCGGAAGAGCTCGGGTGAGAAGACGACGTGGCGGGAAGAGCTGCAAATGCACGTGTGGGTAGTCTAGGGGGCATGATTCTGGATTATCTGAACTGAGAAGGTGATTGAGGGGACACCATGCCAGATTTTATCGTTTAGATGATGGAGGAATGGAGAAAAAAAAAGTGTATTGTATGTATGCTTTTCGTCGAAATCTCCAGAAGGGAGATTTTGCCGCTGATGGGGTTGATACTTCTGATTCCGCAAAAGTAGTGAAACTCCACGTCATTTCTCCTGTCGCCCTCTCCTCCCTCACCCTAGCCTCCTCTGCCCCTTGCATCATGTCGATATTGAGCAACATCCACACGGTATCTCTTATCATCATCCGCGTTGACGGCTTACTGCTCGAGTCATACCGCTGACGGAACGATCTCACATACTGAGATCTGGGCTAACCCACGTTCGTCTCTCGCTGACTATGACATCGAATAACATCCTCCCTTCATTTCGTCGGAGAAAGGATGTCCACATTGCCTTCTCATTCACCGATATCCTCGTACACTATGGCATGTTACATCTCTGATTATCTCTCTTTCTCATCAGTTAACGAATTACTGATATCGTACTGCACATCCCTTTTCGATGCCACCCCAAGATGTCCTCACCTCTCCAATGGCAAACCTACCAAATGTTCAGCTAAAAAACGCGCGTCTTCTTCTCCCTTCCGGAGAACTAACCCCTCTCACATCTCTCTACCTGTCCACCACCACAGGACAAGTAGTGACGCCATGTATCATGCCCATCGGTGCGTCCCTAGAAGTGATCGACTGTATGGGCGGTACTATCAGTCCTGGGATGGTCGACATTCAAATCAACGGAGGATTCGGTGTTGATCTCAGCGAGTTCACCTCGCCCATCGAATATTTGACAGGTTTGGATAAGTTGAGTGAAGAGCTTCTTCGAATGGGAGTGACCAGGTGAGTTTACTTTAGTATTACAAGCGATGGGAATCTGATAGAGATAGCTATGTTCCCACCGTTATCGTAAGTTTGATAGTTATGGCTGTACTGATCAGCTAGTCTCAGAAACCAGAGGTATATAAGAAAATCTTACCTCTGCTCATGGAACGAGCTGGAAAGTCTCCCAAGTTGGGTGTGTTGTCTGCTACGCCTCTGGGGTTCCACGTCGAAGGACCTTTCCTCGCTCCCCTCAAAAAAGGATGTCATCCATCAGAAAACATCGCAGTGGTGAATGAAGGACTAACGGACTTCGAAAACGTGAGCTGGGCTAACGTTACTGATTTTCAAGCTGATGAGTAGATGTACGGCTCGGAGGCCGTTGCTCCTAATCGGGAGATGGTGAGGATCGTGACCGTCGCTCCTGATGTCCAAGGGGTTTTGCCTTGTATACCAGAACTAAGCGAAAGGGGAATAACAGTGGCTTTAGGTCATACGTAAGTGAAACTTTTCTTGTAGCATGTTCAAGATCTGTCGATAGGAGCTGATATGTTAGTAATGCTACCACGGAGCAAGCTTTACAAGGAATCATAAACGGTGCAACTCTTTTGACTCATATCTTCAACGCTATGCCTCCTCTACGTGAGTTGTCTCATGTTTCGGAAGAAGAAGAGAAAGATGACCATTAGATCACCGAGACCCATCTATCATAGGTCTTCTCGGTCTCCCTCTACATCAACCTACTCAAGACTTGAAACTTCTTTCTGATGCTCAGAAAGTCCACTCCGCACCTGTCACTCCTATCCTCACACGTTTCAAGAGACTCTTCACAATGACAGAACCTCTTGTAGAAGAAGACGAATCTCTTCCTGATGAAGATCCCGTATCCGTACCACGAGACACACCATTTCTGGGTGATAAGCACGTCAAGAAAGCTTGTATGACTTGTTCGTATGACCCTTGCGATCAAATTGACGGATGTGCTTGTGAAGCACCCTCCACTCAACAGTGTGATCCTGAGTCGGAAGGTCAGATGGCCTCAAGACCTAGCTTTAGCATCATAGCCGACGGTGTGCACGTCCATCCTCAAGCTGTTGCTCTGGCATACCGTGCTTATCCAGAGGGGTGCATATTGATCTCTGACGGTCAGTCATCCTTATTTCCTTCTTTCTTCCTTGTTTAATCTTTCCTTATCAAGGTGTGGCTGAGCTGAAGTACAGCAATGCACTTTATGGACCCTGACCTCCCTGATGGGGTTTATCCGTGGAGAGAATCAGCTATAGAAAAACGTGGAATGACCCTAACTCTAGACGGGACTGACACTTTGGCAGGCAGGTAGGTGTAGCGACATCTCTCCCCCATCTTTGTTTCTCATATGGTCGAACATCATGTCTACGTTGGAGATTTCCATTATTCTGGACGCTGAGGAAGTTAAGATATGTGAAAAAGGAAAATCAGTTGCTAAATTGCAGTATCCTCCCTATGCCAGAAGCAGTAATAAACCTTTCGAAATTCGCCGATATCCCACTTGAACGAGCTATAGCATGCGCCACTTATACCCCTGCCAAATTACTCGGCGGTCTCTTCAAAGAATCCCATGGGTTGGTACCTGGCTGTAAAGCCGATGTATTATTATGGGACAAAGAAGGTTTGAAAGGTGTATGGAAGAGAGGAAGGGAAGTGTGGAGGAGGTCAGAGTAGTGACACTCTCATTCATTCCACTTCACTGTGTAAAGGTTATGTGTTGGTATACCCTTGATTGTGTTGCATGTCGCATTCTCTTCGGCTGTCTAGTCATGCCTATGAATGCTCCTCATACTCCCTTCAAGTATCACTCTGCAACTCTGAGCTGAGATGCGGTATATGATCATTCCGTGCACACTGTCGGAAATCGTTGCCCGCCACTAAATTCCCACAAGTTCAACTTGATCTTTCCTCCTTGATACTTTCACATTCATCTTTTAACAATGTACACAACATCATCTAAGCCATCATGACAACATCTTCACACTTCAGAGAGATACTTTCAACATAAAAGTATCCAATCTTCAACATGTCCGGTTCTTTAGTTCAGTACATTCAACTCCTCAACTCTGCATTCCTGTCACAATCCCCTGACCAACTCTACTCAGCCGTACCATTATCTCCCGACCACCCTCTTTTCTCTCACCTTCGTACTGCTCTAAGTGCGGTAAGTGTCTAAACATTCTTGTTCTCATATTCCCTTCCCGCTCAACCCATCATGTCGTCCAAAGCGAAAGCTCCCTCATTCTCATGTCCCACGCCCCATCTCCATCTTCTCTGCACTTAGATCACCTTGATCATATCGGCTCCGTTGATCCGTTGACTTTTGGAGCTTGCTCGAACGCTTCACTTTATCTCGTTTGTTACTTGCTGATAAACAGGTCTCTACCTCTGCGTTGTTACCTTCCGCCATAGCTCCGTTTCTCGGCTCCATCTCACCAGATGTTAGAGAAGGTTTTACTTCCTTCGTCTTGAGTTTATTACGATATGTCAAAGTGTATCAGGAAGGTGGGGACTTCGGAAATGTTTATGAGAGGTTTATGACTTTGGTAGGGGTTTATACGTGGGTCTACTCAAATTCCCTCCCTTATGCTCTACCCTTTCCTCAACATCCTCTTATCATCAATGATCCATATCATTCTCTGAACAGTCCACTCGAGTGCGATATCCCCTTTCCACATTCTGACTCCCTCGAACATCAAACCATGGTTCGTGTCCTCATTTTCTCATCCCCAACAGCATACTATCAGTACAGACCATTCAAGTGTCATTCCTCGATAGTGCAGACCCTATGCAGAGGTTCGCGCTCGTCCTCGTGGCAACCCGCACCTGATCATTCTCCATGCTAACTCCCAGCGAAGTGAACAAACTCTACGCTCAAACCTCTTCCGAAGGCGTTCATCTTCACCCTCATCTCAACCCCATCATTCTTTCTCTTGCCAAACAACTGGTCTCAATATCCAACCAAGTCAGTAATTGTCTGTATCATTTTAGCCAAGAGCTCACTCTTCAGGCGGCAGCATCATCTCCTTTTTCACCACGTCACGACCGTTCTGCTCGGTCTATAAGGGATACCACGCGACAGATCATTGAACGTTCTTTCCAAGTGAGCAGTACATCACTATCAGATTCCGAGTGGGTGGGATGTATGGGGAGAGATGTTTTGGTGGGTGATATTATGTGGGGTTTGGCAAATGTTCTATGGAGGATATATGCTGCCGTGGGTTACCTTGTCTCGCCCTCAAAACTTCCATGCTCTCTGATCTCGGAAAACCTTTGCATCTGGCAACACTGCCGTGTCATATAAGTCATATTCGTAAAAGAGATACGGGCAGATATCGTCCTCATATGTCGCTGACCCAACAGCGTAAACTTCACACTCAAGCTGCAGACTTAGTACGAACTTTTGCCGCTCTTCAACCTGCTGAGGAAAAACGTATTCATGCTCGACCTCAAAGAATCCCACAGACCGACATTTGTCAGGCTCATTATTGGCGTGGAAGATTAGGTGTGGTTTTACTCGATATGAGGAATGGACGACATTGGTTGGATAAGGCATGGGAATGGTGTCCATCAGAATGTTGGCAACAACGAAGGTAGGTGATCTTGGTTCGACCCTCCATCTCTTTCTCTAATCCTCGACCACACCTCCGGTCTCTCTTCACTTACATTTCTTCTTATGGGGTATGAATCATGTACGTTACAGAGAAATAGCTAAATGTCAGAGCTATTTTGATCAGAGTCATACCCGTCAACCTTCTGCTCGGTCGTCTTCCCTCTTTCTCCCTTTTAGATCAATACAATCTCCACGAATTTTCTCCTCTATTACACGCCTTCAAAAGTGGTAATTTACCAGCCTGGAGGAGAGTGTTAGAAGATAATAGAGAGTGGTTTAGACGTAGATCGATCTGGTTGGTTCTTTTCGAACGGGGTGAGATTCTACTTTGGCGAAATCTTTTCCGGTTCAGGTGAGTCCATCTTTTCAACTCTAGTTTCTATCGCCATACCTCAGTTTTCCTCGAAACACGACACTTTTTTGGATTTAGGGGAGGGGTTGTATAATAAAATCTGCGAACCACAACACAAGCCGAGATAATATTTGCTCGTGATGTGCCAGTGAGAAGTACAGTCGTCTATCACTTCCTGAATTGTACTTTAAACTAATCAGCAGTGTTAAAACACATTACCAACTTTTCCCTTCTGCACCACGGAACAGATGTCCCACTCGTGTTTTCCTCAATGCCACACGCGCTGCGTTTTCAGGGACGAACGAACCAGAAGATGATGATATAACTTTGGAAGATATCATCTGTGTTCTTTCCAGTCTCATTGATCAGGTAAGTCATTTCACATTCATCAAGTAAATCGCACAAGCTGAAGAAGGAAGGGTTTAATCCTTGGTCATCTAAGCTACAGTCAACAACAATTAATCATGAAACCTAGTGAAGATGGAATGGGAGGATTTCCAAAATTAGGGGATGTGATCCCTAGACGAGTCGAGGCGATTATGTGAAGAACATCGTGAATCATGGATCATTTAGGAATGTCACATCACAAAATCACAATCTTGTTCGTCTTCACCAACAGTTTCTACTTACTGTACATTATGATGATTGTACTTACGAACGTTCTCGATACAAGTAATCTCCGACGTGATCTCAAATACCTCATATCCTCTCCTACATCTCATGCAAGCTTCATCACCGGTCAAACAGCTTCAAGATTCATCTCCGAAAGTTGCACAGCTTTTAGAAGAATGGAAGATTCAGTACCGCATATATCATCGATAACACTAGAAATTTCACCTTGAATGGATGACCAACATTGTCGATCTCCGCCTTCGGTTAAGAGAACAATGGATAGTAGATACAGGACTCATTGCCACTGATCCAATGAGGGGATATAAAGTTTGTTTTTGGACATCCTGAAAGAAAACCTCCACCGCTTATTTTTTTACTCTGTCATTGATATAAAAAGTTATCAAACAAACAACATGTCTCAATCGACAACCAACAGTGACACTTCCCATCACGGAGCTCCTAAAGCAGACTCCACCAATAGCGCGTCTGCCCAAACCATCCTAAGCGAGCCAAAAGCAGCGGATCCCTCGACTGGTCACACAACTGAAGCAGGAACAAACACGGGTTATAAAGAAGGAGGACCCTCGAACGGATCCGGAAACAGTACCGCCACCGCGACTTCACTCAACAACCCTACGACCTCTGGTGACCCAAAGAAAAACAGGCCGCAATTAAGTCTGGTTATCCCTACTGCTTCCTCGGCTGCCGGGCGGTCATTAGGATCTGAGTATGAGGATTGATGCAGAAACGCCGCAGCGCTTACTTCTGATAATGGACCATGCATGAACAATGTAACATGAGACTCTGAGATTCATTCTCCATTCTTACGATAAGTAACCTTAACTATGTCACTGACTACCTGTCGACCGATTTGAGACGTTGCGATAATCGTTCCTTCTGCGCCAGAGCTGCGGCGGCATCGTAGGTACTTGACTTCTCCTCCCCACCTCCCATCTCATCACCCACATCGGATATATCGTCATCCGTCGATTCGAAGGTGAATGTTGGAGAGTCGAATTGCGATGTTGAGATGGAAGGTGAGCGAGGACAGATATCGAATGAAACTATGGACCGCATATCTCCTATACATCAGCATCCCACCCTTTTGCCTCATAGTCAAGGAATACGATCTCAGAGAATAAGAGACTTTGATATGACAGCATGGAACATAGGGGTGACCGTGAAAGGGGAAAGGGAGAGACGAAGGGAAGTGGAACTCGGACTCACCGCCGACTTGTACAGTCCTCCAATCATTTGACCCAGCCAGAATCCTACATGCTTGTGGAGGTAATTGATTCCCATGTCTCATCCAAACCTCATCCATCATTTCTTCCTTCGCATTCACTTCAATCTCGAATAATCTTATTTCTGGATGTAACAAACCCCCACCATCTCCATCACCACCTACTATCTTATCTTCTTCTTTGGCAAGTGCACTTCCAACTTCATCCCCTCCCTCTTCTCGCCTTCGTTTCTCTCTTACGACTTCTTTGACACCTTTGAACACGGCTAAAGAGCTACAAGCAGGCGGAAGTGAGACACGGATGTGCGGGACGGGTATAGTGGTGAAAAAGTCCAGATGAGGTGCGCGGAAAATAAGCATGGCGAGTGGGTCATATGCCACTAAAGATAGAGCACCCATAGTCGGACACCAAGATCGAAGCAAATAGTGTAATTGAAATCGTATTCTATGAGCCAAAACGTGAGAACTTACACCTTCCTCGCCTGAGCCGTCTCGGGGAACATGTGTACCGTGTGGTCGATTGGGATTACCAACTTGGACTTGGTTGGTAATGGGTGTACCAGTGGATACAGGTGCGCTAAGGAGAGACGAACGTAGGTGCGTTCGAGATGACTCATGCAGGCGAGGTTGATGTCGATGATGCATACGAGGAGGCGGAATCGTAGAGGTCGCATTGTGTTGAGAAGTCACTAATGACTCGGTGGACGTGGCGGGGGAGTTACGATACAATCTTCCTCTTTGACCGAGGGCTGGAGCTTCCAGGTCGTCATGACTGGAGTTCAGTCGGAAAGTTTCTCGATCCGGCGATGGAAGATGATCGAGTCGTTCTTTTTGGTCATTCGTCAGAACATCCAAAGGCTCCAAGTTCAAAGAGGAAATGTCCTCCCCCCTTGATGAAATGTCGCCTCTCTTCGAATATGTGTCATCCTCGAATATATCTTCCTGTGAAGAGTTGCTGGAAGAGTCATCGGCGTCATCATCTGCCTCGGCGTCGTCAAGTGAACTATCATCATCGTCAGAGGCAGGTGAATTTGGGGCGTCCAGAGGTCTTGAATTTCGAGCACCGGTAGAGGCTTGAGACAGTGGGGAGGCAGGAAACGTCCTGCTACCTTGAACATGGGATCTATGGAAGTTTGATTCACGCCTTGAAGGAAGACGTGACGAGGATGTACTGCTCTTGGTAGGTCTTTCAGATATGCCATCGGACAGCGTATTCCCACTCGCATTTCTTGCCTCGTTCTCATCCGCATAGTTCACATAAGCGCCCAGTCCTGCACGGGCGGGTGGATGATGCCATTGCTGCCCAGAATGTAGCCGTTGGGACGATTCTCCAGACGATGTTCCAGCGGATGAAAGCCTTGCAGGATAGAGAGGTGGCGGAAGCGGAGGTAGGACATGTAGGTTCGCCATATTTTGCATTACTGATTGCGGGGCGGGTGGATGTGCGGGGGTGATGTTGTTCGTTTGCATCCACCAGGTGGGTAACTCGAATTCGGTCCGAGAGAGCAACGCATCCCTCCATGACTCTCTGATGGGATTATAATCTCTGGAGGATTGCGTATCTCTTTCCAACGTCGATTCCGGATGATTCGGAGCGATATCTGGTCTTGTGAATGACAAAAGCTCTTGACCTAAAGTAGAATCGTGTAAGTCCCACATCCTGAATTCCAACCGTACTTTGCGAGGAGCGATGTATTGCAGAGCTTCGAATAAAACCTCAGCATCACATTGACAGAGTATCAGTGCGTCGCATAAGGTAAATGATTCGAGTATCGAGAAAAGACTGAGGATTTCTGGGAATTGACGATGTATGGCGCCCATTGATAAATTTGGTCGATTTGATCTTCTTCCAGCTTCGTATCCGTGTAATACAGGGGAAGGACGGACAGTGAGATTTTGAACCAGAGAGATCTTCGTTTGACTGGTGATATACCGAGGGGGGTGGACAAGTGATCGGGCGAAGGAGGATATGGTGGTATAGCTGAGTAGAGGATGAGAATATAGGATAGGTAAAGCAATTTGGTAGTGCTCTGAACTGAGGAGAAGTGGATTCAAGGCTTCTTGTAGACAATCTGTGTTTCTCCATTCTGGTTCATAAGCATTTGTGAACATGATACCAAAGGACCGTTGATCGCGCACCGCCCTATTGAGTCTCGGTAGAGATGGGCAACGGAATGCTTCAAATTGAGGGTGAAGCCAAAGAGCTCAGGAGTCTGGATACATGTTAGGGAAGAAGGGTATTGTGATAATATTGGTCAGTACTAGAACATACCTTGATAAACCCCCTCATAGTGGATGAAAAAGATGCGCCTCCATACTTCCTCCGGGAGATCAGGAAGGACGACCAATTTAGCTTTGCCCTTGCCCTTGTCGAGCTTGCTCCGTGGAGATATGGGAGGAAAGTTCACTGGTTCCATCGCAAGAGACCATACAGTGCGGCTATGCTAGTACAAACCACGAGGAGAAGTCAAATTGAGGATGAGGAGGGGAAGGTATGTATGGTGTTCACTTCGTTGAGTTCACTTTGGATGACATTGGACGATCGACGTCAATTTGTGGCAGTGTGGCACTTTACAAATGTGGCACTTTCATCTTCCTTTCGCCGAGACGGCCAAAGCGCCGTAATGTACATGCACCTCATATCAAGTTGGTGTCTTTATGTAAGGCCATAGAAGGCTCATGCAGCCTGTGCACCCCATCTTGAACTGGAAACACTTCACTTAAGTGTTCTTCCATTCATCATGGGTAGATCATGAGTCCTCTGCCCTGCCTCTATGATCAATCTGGTGCGGCGTTCGAAGTCTCGTCGATCCCCGCTCTGACCCCACAGCCGTCGTTATATATCTATGCCAAGTGGTTCCGTCAGTCGTCTAACTCCCTCTTATGCCCTTATCTCTCAAGCTGCTCTTTGATAGATCATGTCCACAATCGATAACGACGCTCCAACAGATCCTTCAACCGTCCCGGAGACTACAAACAGCGGGGAAGCAGCGGGAGAAGAGACAGAAACAAAACCTACCCGATCTCGCCGACCATCCGTCGATGCTGAAGACCTGACCAGAAGACTAGAGCGCCTGAGCACTCCCTCTAGAACCCTAAACAATTTTAGTGGGGTACCTCCAAGCTGGTTATACCCACCGCCTGTCACTCACATACCAGGTAGGTCTTCACCAAATGTACCTTTCACCTGGATTCGACAAGGTCCACACGGTTGGTGGGGGCCTTCTTATCCAACTATACCTCATGGATATATGATGTGTCCAGATGGTAGCTATCTTATACCGTCCCCTTACGGAATGGTACCGTCTGACATTGGAGGATACACTTTGAGATCCCCGCCTATTGAGGGATACATGTCACAATGGTCAGGTTTGCCAAGTCCACGGTATCCGGGAAATCGACCACAATCATTAATCCAACCAAGTCCACATTTCCTCCCACCTGTTACTTCGCCCTCCATCCCTTATCCCGCACAAGGGTATGTGGAGTTATTGACAAGATATGAAGAGATTCGAGGACATTCAGACGTTTACGCAGAGTCCTATCCCAATAGTGAAGACGAAACTGGAGGAGACACACGGATGTCCAATACGGACCGTCATCGGACTGGTACTGGAAACAGACTTCCAAGAATGAGAGAGAGACCGGATCACCCTCATATATCATCCCATGAGTCTAACGTCGCAACACTAGGGAGTCGAGTCCCTGGTCAACACAGACGCCGGAACCGACGTTTGTCCGTCTCAACGAATCATGAACAGGCACCGGGCAGGGGTGAAACAAGGTTAAATAACAACTCACAAACAGATGGACAAACAAGTTCAGGAAGAAGAACCACTCATGTGGAGGTAGTGAGGAATGGAGTAGTAATTGCTGAAGAAGATCTGGAAGAAGGGGAGAATCTTACCCTTGGTCAGGTGAACATCACAGGAGGCTTTCGGTCGAGTGGATCTTCAACGAGTCATACTTAGAGACGTTCTTTTGCGCCAATAGCGTCATGCATGTCTACAGACGGCCCATTCATGGCTATCTGCTTACGATCTGTGAATCTACTTCACCTGACGAATGTACTGTATCAATCGGAACAACCGAATGACCTATTCCGTGGATATACGGAAATGGTAACTTCAACCCGATCCGGTAAATTCCACCAACTCCGGTACCTCCCCCGCCTTCGGTCTTGACCAACCTTCCACTCCGTCAAAGAACAAACGAATGGATGATTCTCTTCCACTCAAATCGGAGGGAAAGTCATACCTATGCGTAGGAGACATAGATTTAGGATACGATGAAACGTTTATCAAGCCAATATGTATCTTACGGCGCCCGACAAGTCCGTTGTGGACCTGACGAAACCTCACTTGTTCGACAAGCAGCTTCAAAAGTGGTAGGTGCAGTTGAATGAGATGGAACATGAAATTGGGAGTAAGATGAAGGTGATTGATGAGAAGACTTATTTCAGTATTGTTGGTTTTATCTTTCATATTCCTTCCTTCCTTCCTTGTTTTCTTTCTTATACCGGACCCCACAATTATGCCAATCCCTCTCCGATCTATACTACTTCTGGGTGGGTAGATTACAAGTGAAGAGGGTATGACTCGGTGTTGGTGAAGACCAGGAAACATGAAGGATCGCTAACAAACAGTATGGACCTCTGGTAATTGGGAATTTCCTTTCTTGTTGGTTATATGGCGTCTTCATCATGCTCGTGAGTTTCTCCTTCTTTGTTTCAAAGTCGAAAGAATACTGAGATCAAGTTTCACCTTTATTTCAGACTTTGTAAGAAAGATAAAACTTTGAATCGATGTGTTGTCCTGGTACGTAAATACTTTTTCCATGAGGTGAAATTATAAAACTGAGAATAGGTTTTGTTTGTACTCACAACTTTGGATACTACTTTTCATGCCATACGCACTGTTTTGTTAACTGCTTCTCATCCTGGTGATGTCGAATATGTGAGTGATTCCCCTTATTTTTCCAACTACATCTCATAGCTTCTTAGCTTCTTAACTTCTTGTATTTCGTCCCTTTACACTCCTCTCATAGTCCAACTCTTACTTTGTAGCTTAGTTCGAGGGAATTGAATATTTTCTTAGGGTGAAAGGAAGAAGTTCGTAGACAGGGGTAAAGGCGTAGGATGATCAGTTTAGGGTGAGATATTGAGTGAGTAACGGGTAAACGTCGGTAGTGAAGAAGAAGAAGAAACGAATACTCCTTCTTGTATTTCTAAACGGAAGAAAGCTCACAAATGTAGTTCCAAATGCTCAACAAACGATTCGAAGATTGGGCAGGATTATTAACTTCAAATCTCACCGCTACTTTTTCACAAGCTTTTATGGCATATCGTATCATCTCTTTCGCTAGAGCTATGAGACCGACATACGGACCAAGAACAACATTACTTATTCGAATATTAGGAATCATCTTGTCAGGTGGTATTTTATTATCTTTAGGATCAGGTATGGCACTTCCTTTATATTTACGTACTAAACATACTTAGTAGGTTCTTTCTTCCTTCTCTCTTCCCCATTCTTCAAAGAACAAAAATGGGAAGATTTGTTGAATGAATAGTCATGAAGTATCAAGAAGATCTGGAGATCTTATATTCCCTTGTTTGACAAGTTTACAACTTGGTAGTTTTCTGGTATGTTCCCTTTTTCCTTGATCAGGGATGAAAGTTGATTTTCAGGGATTAGATGTGATGATTACTATTTTGATGACATTGGAACTTCGACTAGCTAGGGTAAGTCTAAAATCCCATGTTACACTCCACACATCAGTCACGAATCCCCCACAGGACTCTTCGGGAAGGTTCTAGGTTGTAGGCTTGTTCTCTCATTTCCCATGAAGATATCTGGAGAGGATGACACTCACGGATCGGGAGATGGCCGAACAGGAGTTTGGATGTAGGATATGTGATATGTGCTGATCACAGACTGGATTCGCAGCTTCTAACGGTATCCTCGACGTTTTAGTAGCTCTAATAGTGAAGAATTGTCTACTAGTCACGGCACTACAAACCGCTCAATTGATATGTTATTGGAAAACGTTAGTACTATCTCTTTCTTCCCTGGCTCATCACATCCCCGTTTCTCCTTTCTTCCTTGAACGTTGAATGAGCCTATGAGGAATGATCATCCTCTCAGCCCCAGGAACAGGCCGGACGATCACAGTAATCCCAACATCCAAAGGAGTAGAAACCCCAATGAATCGTGTTCAAAGTTAAGGAAAAGATGAGCAAGGGATGTGAAATGGAAGGAAAAAAGAAGTTGAAATGGAAGAGAGGAAAGGAAAAGAAAAGAAAAGAAAACTGACAAAACAAGTTATACAACATGGTCCGAATTCTCACCTATATTCATAGGAAAAGTCTACGCCATAACAGTCCTAGGTATACTCTGCGAACCAAGAGTAGCACATCAAGTATATCTTCATAAACTCGATACTGAAGCCATACCCGATTTAGGTATTTCATCAATTTCTCAAACCATGACTTCAATCACGATTTGTAATTCTTGTGGTTATCCTTCTTCTCCTACTCCATCATCTTCCCCTCGACTGGAAAATACGAGTGATTGTCATTGTCAACATAGGAACATGTACGATACAGGAGGAAGTCCGATATCAGTAGGAATGAATAAAAGTCCTACGATGCAAGATGGTTTGATTGGGTTTAGAGCTGCTTTGTTAGGATTGGAAGAAGGAGAGTTAAGAGTGGAGGTACATGATACTCCGAGATTGGAAATGGATCGGATATCCCAAGAAGGGGATTTGAGAGTTGAAGAAAGTCAAGTTTGAAGTATGTGATGAAATGAGTGATGGACATTTAATGAGAACAGTACAGTATCAGTAATTTGTGGTTGAGATCAATTGGAAATCGGAGATGACATTACGTGGTTTTTGGTGAGATGCATTGATGTTTTGGTAATCAGGATAGCGCTACAAGTAGCTTCGAATTCATCAGTGTTTTTTCTTGGAAGGAGAAGGGTAAGGGAACGGGGATCTAAGGGGAGGTGAAATGGCCGACGTGGGTACTCCCACGCTTGATCACTCTACCAAGACCCACCGTGTACCTTCACGTCTTTGAATTTTCTTTACAGGAGGTAAATCCACACCCAAAGCTCTAAAATGAGGTATCACCCAAACTTCTCTCTCATCCCCCTTTCCAACATTCCCCATTCTCGCCGCTCCTAACTTCATCTCTTGAGGCTTAGACCAATTACGTATACCCGACGCTCCTAATTTTATTTCTTGAGGTTTAGACCAACTACACATGGCTGGTGCTAATTGACTGATCCAGGCGGGATGAACTCTAGTCAATCCTCTCATGATAGCACGTCCACTCGATTGACTTTGTACCAGTTCAGAATATATAACCCATTCAGGTGGAGCTTTATGAAACAGAACACTAGAAGGATGGACGTATACTTCGTCTTGACCGATGGTACGGAATGAGACGTTCCGACAGGAGGTGAATGTTTTTGGAGCGTTGGTTATTATATCGGTACGGATGGCGATGTGGTCCAGAAAGCTTGAGAGTAAGATTTGACGTATGATTTTGAGTTGAGTGTCTGAAGGTGTTATAAGACGAGATGGAGGGAGGGATGCGAGGGAAGAGATTTGGTTTCGGAGTTGATGGATTTCTTGCATTGCCTTGAAGTTAGCGGGTCACAATACTCTGACAGTCGAGTCAATGATCCTCAATACTATATCTGACAGTTTGGATGGATGGCTCAGGGTGGTGGATGTCTAACCCTCGTGTCGTATGACGATGGAAGTGAGGGAGCTGTTGGTGGATCTAAGGATATCAGATAGGATGGTACTAGAAGATAAAATGGAGAAAGAGAAAGAAAAGAACATACTTTCAGACGAAGGAAATTCCTAGAGCAGAACGAAGACGTTGGTTCATGTTCATACGCCCCTACGGCAGCTAATAATTTGAAAGCGTCACTGGTTCCATTTCCTAAACCCAAGAATTGCTTATCATTAGCCTACCCCCATCTCAGTCTACTGTAAAACGTTTCCAATCAGTGAAAACGAAACCGACGAAACTCACCGATTGAGATTTCCAATACCTTCTCCTGAGTGCTTTCCGTTCTTCCTTCGCTCTCATCTCTTCATTCGTAATATGTTTCATCTCCGGTATCTCCTCATCCTCCTCATCCTCTTCGTCTAAACTCATCTCTAATGAATTCTCATGAACGAAAGGATCTCCCACACTCATTCCTGCTACTATCGCCACGATATACGGTAAACAATCATGTTGACCTCCAATAGCTAACATTTTTGCGAATCTTGGTGAAACAGGAAAACCAGCCATTATGCGACCTAAATCTGTTATACTTCCTCCTACTTGACCAAGTTGAGAAACACCGTTAATCATCTTTCCCATCGTTGGCGAGCTCAGTGCTCCCAAGTTGATCAAAAGATCTTCAGCTTTACGCAATGCTAGACGATCTGGTGGTGTTGGAAAAGGAAAATTGACGACATTATCAATGTTCATACTTTTCATTTGAAGAACTACTCCTTCGATAGGCATACGAAGGATTTCAGGTGGAGTGAAAGAATCGAAGTGATCTTCATATAATGCGGAGGAATAAAGACGATAACAATGTCCTGGACCTGTTCGACCTGCTCTACCGGTACGTTGTTGAGCTGATGCTTTGGAAATCCATGAAACGCTATAACGTTGAACGTTGGAGATTGGATCGTATTGTCTTTCTTTTGCACGTCCGGTGTCTACCACATACCGAATACCGGGGATTGTGAGGGAAGTTTCAGCCACGTTGGTGGCGATGATAACCAGACGGGAACCTTCTGGAGGTGATGTGAACACTCGCATCTGTTGTTCGTTAGGGAGAAGGGAGTAAAGAGGTAAGATGTGCATTGGAGCTAATATGTCAGTTAATACATGTCAAGCTATAAGTATGTAATGAAGATAGACTTACCACTCGTCTCCTCGAGATCTATATCTGGAGATTCGTCATCATCGGTGTCAAGTCCCTCTGGATCACTTTCAGCTTGGCCGTCATCGACATCCGCTGCTAAATCATCATCTCCCCCTAATTCAACGTCCTCTGTCTCGCGTTCTGCAAGATGTCAGCTGATTCTGTCATATGGCATGAGATAGCTTACCATCGACAGACGGAACGATATTCTTCGCTCGTGTGAACGAGTCAATAGATTTTCCAGAGCCTTTCCCACGGTTATAATCCTTCTCTAATTTTCTACACAAAGTCTGGATTTCCGCTTGACCAGTCATGAACACCAGAATACCTCCAGGTGGTAATCTAGCATGTATTTTACGGATCTTCTTATACGCCTCACTGACATAATCCCCCAACGTACGTCTACTAAAATGCACAGTGACGGGATGCTGTCTTGCGGTGATATGTATGACCGGTGGAGGAATAGCGAATAAGGTGGAATTTTTGGCGAAATCGTCCATTCGTAATGTGGCAGACATGATGACGATCCTCAATGGCTTGACTCCTCTGTCTGGTTGTTCACGCCACATCTTCTCTCGTAATTTTGATACTCTCGATAAGACACCGATGAGTACATCGGTATTGACTCCTCTTTCATGAGCTTCGTCGACAACAACAGCAGAATATCGCGAGAGAAGAAAATCGGTCGAAAGTTCTCGAAGGAGGACACCATCAGTCATGAATTTGATAGCTGTATCGGGGGAAGTGGTGGAGGAATATCGGATTTGATGAGCGACTACTGTGGAGGATGAGGGTAGATTCAACTCGGACTTGACACGTTGTGCAAGTGAGACAGCGGCCACTCGACGGGGTTGAGTAATGGCGATCATTCCGGGATTATCTGTACATGAGCCTCACGGCAAAGTGATGCGACGAGATTCTTACCTGATCCTTGAAATCCGAACCCTGCTTCGTATAACATTTGAGGGACCTGAGTAGTTTTACCACTTCCTGTCTCACCGGCAATGATGACTACGGAATGCATGAGAATGGCTTCGACGATAGTCTGTTCTTCTGCCAAGATGGGAAGTTCCATTCGAGCTTGAGAGACTGACGGGCGTCGGTTGATTCTGGGTCGGATTGTTGAGGAACCGGCTGAACGACTCTCCAGTCCATTCGACGTAGTCAAGAGAGAAGAAGATGGGACCTCCAAGTGAGCGCCAAGAGGACCGACAAAGTGACGATCATTGGGTACGGTTGTAGATGTGTGACTGGCAGGAGCCTTGGGAAACACCTCCTCCATGGGTTGTTCTGGTTCTTCGGGACCTTGGTGTATCCCCATTTGACGCTGCGCCCAATCCTTGAAGCCCGTCGCCCGCTCACGACGGGGTGATCTCTTTCTGATCAGACCGGAATCGCAGAGCTGAACTTCTGGCAAAAGATTTTGATCTTGACCTTGATCTTCCTCGTTGCCATCTGAGTTTCCTTCAGCTTCACTATTCCCTTGCCCACTTTCTGACCCAGCGTCGCTACCCGATGCCTCTTCTGGGAGTTCCTCGCTTTCGTCTTCGTCACTCGTGTCGCTTATATCATCATCATCATCATCATCATCATCACTGCCTTTGGACTCATGTCTTTGTTGCCGCTGTTTGAATGTCTGATCGTCAGCTTTACTTTCCTGGTGTTGTGCTGACACTCACCCATGCCGGCTTGCTACGTATCAGAACCTTGGGCTGAAGCATGGCGCCATTTGCACCTTTCTTCAAGGCTCCTCCTATGGCATTCACCTCCGCTGTTCTGGAAGGACCAGCTAACCCGGCGGCCTCCTCCTGTGCTATATTTTGAGTGGAGGGGATGGCTGGAGATAACGATGGTTCAGTGGGTGGTTTTAAAGATGGAACTTTCTCCTCTTTAGGATCCTCTTCCGAGTCTGACGAATCGAAGTCGGACGATGAATCAGGCTGCGTAGACATCAATTGTGGATTCCAGCTCGCCTCATTGATCAGCTCAATCATCACAAATGACACTTTGCTACTTGGTAACTCACCTGTTTGGATTTCTTCCCTTTCCTTTTCTTTCCATTCGCCCGACTCGTCTTCTCTTGTGTTTTAGATAAACTTGTCACCTTGACTTCCCCCGCATTTTCATCATGCCCATCGAGGACGACTTCCACAATCTTTTCCTTCCCCTTCCTTCCCTTCTCTACCTCATCTTCACTACTCTCACTGTCGCCCAAACGATTGGTACGGCTCTTCAATCTGTCAATGCCTCTGCGGACCAGTCGGTCTTCACGTTTCTCTGCACGTTCCTTGGCGCTACTAGGAGCAATTGGGTTCTGACCAAGAGATGAAGAAGATAGTAATGCTGCCGATGCCGATGTGGAGGGAGCCAATGAAGCTAAGAGCTGGAGTGTCTGAACTCGTTCTTCTGCTTTGAGCTTTTTCTCCTAATCACTGTCAGCATGGAGGCTACAGAGGCCAGATGAAGAACCTACGATGTATGAATCTAGTCGTTTCTTCTTCTTCGAGGACATGGGTTTGTTATCTATCTCAGTGTTGGTACTGAACAACAAAGCCTTTCTCTGATCGGACTTGACTTGGATCTCTTCTTCATCCACAAGCAGATGACGCTTGCGCTTCTTGTGACTGGAACCGCTTACCACTGACCCACGAGCTTTGGCATTGTATCGTTCGTAAGTGGGAGGACCCATGGTCACTATGAAGCCCAGAGTGGGAGGGTAAGCCGATTGAGGCACCAGTGAAAGTCTTTGAATGACATGTGACAGGAATAGTTAAGAGTAAGAGGTCAAAAAGTTGGTCCACCATCAGCGGCGATGTCCGCTTCCAACTTCCGTCGGAACTGGCCGACCACCTCGATCTCTGTGAATTCCATCGAACCGATCTGCCCGTACTCGTATCTTTCACCTACCCCATCATGTCTTCTCAGAGACAACGAGTAGCTCTCGTGATTGGTGCAGGACCCGTAGGTGCTTTAGCAGCTCTTAGTCTTTATCGAAGAGGATGGGACGTAGAGATCTGGGAAGCTCGAGATGGTTCGTTCCCTTATTAGCGTTCGATGCCACATTGACACCTTAGATCCTCGGGGGATGGAAGCTTCCAAAATGACAAACCTCCGATCTATCAACCTTAATATATCTGCTCGCGGTCTGGAAGCCTTGAGGAGTGTGGACCCTACTTTAGGTCCGCTTCTCGTTCATGGAACAACTTGTCGAACTGACTTGATAGCGGAGACGATGATCAACGAGTCCATTCCCATGGCTTCACGTATGATTCATCATCTTGACGGTCATACCGAAGCTCAAGCATACGATCCTATACATGGCTGGGTGAGTCCGCTTCCTACAGCGTTTGAACTGATAGTAAGCGGGCTGAGAATTAGCATTCGAATTCTATTAGTCGACCTGTGCTCAATCAACGTCTTGTAGAAGCATTACCACTTGAGATCAAGATGAGGTTCAATACCAAACTTTCACGACTCGATCTTAATTCTCGCAAAGCTTACTTTGTGACCAAAGCATCAAAATCAGTTCCGGGAGAAGAGGACGAATCAGCCTTCAGAACGAGGACAAGTGACATGCAGACGGACAATGGGGAGGAAGAAGAGGTGAAGGACTTTGATCTGATAATTGGTGCCGATGGGACTTGGTCAAAAGTCCGACAAGAGATGATGAGAGTAGAGAGGTCAGCCTTATCTATGATGATGGAGGTTTTGAGCTGTACTGATCACACAGAGTCAATTTCTCTCAAGAGTTCATCTCGCATGCTTATATCGAACTTCACATGCCTCCCGATCCCACAAAACCAGACGGTTTCCAGATGCAGCCTAATCATTTACATATCTGGCCTCGACATTCTTTCATGCTTATTGCATTACCTAATAAGGTGAGGCTTGGCATACAGATGATTGACGGTAATACGTGCTGAACGGAAGGACGGGTCATTCACAATGACCCTCTTCATACCTTTCGAAGAAGCTAAACGTCTCGATACACGTGATGGGGCTCTCGCCTTCTTCGAAGAGCATTTCTCGTCCGCTATCGATTTAATGGGGAAGGAGAGATTGCTGGATGATTTGGAAAGAAATCCTCGTGGAAATCTCGTGACAATGAACGTCAGCTCCATTTCCCCGGACAGTTGGGTACTGAGTGAGCTCATGTGGTAGGTCAATCCGTCAACTTGGAAATCCCACGTCGTCCTTCTCGGAGATGCGGCACATAGTATGGTACCGTGAGTCACTCGCCCAAATAGGTACCAATCTTTACGCTTCAGATTCTACGGCCAAGGGTTAAATTGTGGATTGGAAGATGTTCGAGTACTCAACTCGTACCTCGAGCAATATCATATCGGATCCACCACCACTGCTCCGCTTGGAAGGACCGATCCCGAGCTTTCGATGGCTCTGGAGACATATTCAAAAGACCGTGATGCTGACTTGCGCGCTATATGCACATTGGCATTGAACAACTAGTGCGTCGACCTGCGTATATCTCAATGATATCTGCTAACGGACAGCACCGAGATGCGATCACACGTCCTCTCACCTCTCTATCAGTTCCGACGACATTTGGATTACGTTCTGGAAAGATTACTCCCATCGAAACCAGAGGGTGAACTGTCTTTGACAAACCCTTTCCCTACTCGCAAAGTCAGAGGATGGACAAGCTTGTATGAGATGGTGACGTTCCGTGCGGACATTGGGTATGCAGAAGCACTAAGAAGGGAGAAATGGCAAAGGGAGGTCGTATCTTGGGCTGGGGAAATCGCTGCTACAGGTTTGGTGGGAGGATTTGGTGTGATGAGCTGGTTATTAGTCAGACAATGGAAGCGATAGGAATGTTTTGGATACATATCATCGAGATGAAATAACACATCATGAATGACAGAACCTCAGCGTTCCACGTCGGGGCAACGCATGGTGATGCCACAGATGATTTCGCCACATTCTTCGGCGTTCGCGGGGTTTCGTCGTCCTACTGAATTTTCTCTGCGCTTTCCCATCCACGTTGTTCAACATTCCTCACTCCCCTTCTTAACACCCTTGTACTCACACACACTATCATCATCATCATCATGGCTGCTGCTCCTTCGCTCCCAGAACTTGAGAAAGCTCTCGCCACCAGAGCTTACCTGGATGGGTGAGTGTCATTGGTTACCAGTCTACCTTCCCCCTAAGTTACCCCTTCCCACCGGAGTCCTTTATCCTCATCATGATGAACTTTTGTTTTGGTCCGTGTTTCCGAGTTGCGGCTAGACACCGCGCTTTGCATAGACGACAAATTCTTTCCAAACCTTCTGATTCGTTCCTCTCGCTCATGTCTCAATCAACATGTCATGTGACTGAGCTGACCGAACAGATACCAGCCAACCTCTGCCGATGTGGAAGTGTTCGTCTCTCTCAAAGGCGGTACGTCTGTTTCCGTATAGACAGTGTAAATCAGACCTGACATTATCGCAGCTGCCCCTGGTACAGAGTACCCTCACGCCGCTAGATGGTACAAACACATCGCCTCTTGGGAATCTGAATTCTCCTCTCTTCCCAAAGGCACTTCACCCTTCGCCGCTGGACCCGCTGCTACCCCTGCCGCAAAAGAGGAGGAAGAGGATGACGAAATCGATCTGTTTGCCGATGACGACGAAGAGGAAGACGCAGAGGCTGAGAGGGTGAAGGCTGAACGTGTGGCCGCGTACAACGCCCAGAAGGCGGAGAAAACTGCTAAGAAGGCAGCCGAGGGTAAACTAGAGGTAGCAAAGTCCGTCGTCACCCTTCAGGTCAAACCGTGGGATGATGAGACGGATATGGAGGCGATGGAAAAGGAGGTGAGGGCGATCGAGAAGGATGGTTTGGTCTGGGGTGCTAGTAAATTGGTCCCTGTCGGTTATGGTGAGTTTTGTTTCTCGCCTCCCCTTCTCATCACCTCCCCGAATTTCCCGGCTCCCTTCTGACGCATGGATTTTGTTTCTTTTTGCCAATTGCCAATGCTTGACGTATGCTTCCGCTCATGACTCTCGCCGATGGAGGCTCGTATAAGGATCATCAACGAGGTGCATGTGTTGACGGTCAGGTATCAAGATGCTGCAGCTCACTCTCGTCATTGAAGACGCCAAGATCTCTCTCGAAGAGCTACAAGAAGAGATCCAAGAGTTGGAAGACTACGTGCAGTCCACCGACGTTGCGGGTGAGTTCATGTTTGTCTCGAATGTTAGAAAGCAGCTGACATTGACCAGCCATGCAGAAACTGTAGAGACACCATTTATGCATGTGAAGACTGCCCATAGGTGTCCTTCAATCATCTCTGATATCACTTCGTCCTCTACCGGTTTGGAATTCCGCTCTGACATCAACTGACGTGGCCGACTGGCTCACTTCAGACGTTTGACATGTTGATCGAAGCGGGATTTCGAATCCTGGGCGATGGCGATCATTGACGTCTCACCGTACACATGGACCATTTCCTTTCTTTCCGCCATCACGTCAGTTGTCGACATCTGACGCCTCCTTTCTATCATGTGAAATTGCCCTACTTATAAGAAATTGATGGGTTTGACCATTTGGCCAACCAGATTTATCCTCATTCAGATTTGACAAGATGCCACGTTCAAAACATTCTCACCATACACAGAAAGCTCAAGAACCGACTGATGCATCTACCAGTCACCCCCATACGGACACTGAGGGCGAAGGCCAAGGAAGTGGGAGCTCAATTGGGCGTCTTTGGACCGCCGTATCGACCTCGATGGCGAGCTTTTTAGGGCCTCTGTGGCGAGCTTTTTAGGGCCTCTGTGGTCTCATGACGGCTCGAGAGGGAACGAGATGTTGCCGACCATGATTCGAGTGAGTCTTCAGATACCTTTGATTGCCAACACTGACAATGAGATTAATGTGGCCCCTATTGACGATTGGTCCACCGTGACAACTGTGCTCGGCGCAAAAAGTGAGGCAGCTGGTTTAGTGTCCTTTGATACTTTGACTGAGAGGGGTAAGAGAATGCCCCCTAGTATCGATACGCTCTTCGATTCCGCTCCTTCTCCCGATCTACATCAACTTGGACATCCACTTCCTCCAAGCACTTTGTCAACGTTGATCGAGGTATACAAACAGTTTTATTCGTATGTAACATGTCTCTCTTTATGATTGATCAGTGAAATGATACCGCAGTGACTCTTATACTTACAAACTCGCAAGGAATTCTCTTACTCTTTTTGCCCATAGACCCAATCCTAACTGGCCAGATGGGGAAGAGATTATATCTCTTGCCTCACCGTGTAACTTGGAACAAGCATCGGAGATGATGGCTACATCCTCTTACTCGATGGCGACCGGCACAGCGCCCAATAAATGGGTGCTCAGAGACAGGAACGAGGTGATAGCTATAGTGGAATCAAGAGTGTGCACTCCGGAAGTGGCAAAAGATGTCCAAAACTTCTTACGCGGAAAAGCTGGTCTCAAAGTGGCCAACGAAGATAAGATAACAATTCGCTCATTGACTGTACGTACTTGTTTCCTTCACTTATCACCTGCTCTTATTGGATTTACTTCTTCAATTGCTGATGAGAAGATTGGATATTCTGACAAATCATTGGCTCTAGTGATGCCAGGGACAGGGGAAGACTCTACATGTAGAGTAATGACAAGGTATGGGGATCAACAACCAAGCTGGGAGCGGTTGTCGTCTCTTCTGATCAACCGGGTCAATGATCAACTGTGAGTAGTCTTTCACATGGTGATCTTCAAAGCAATTTCTCATGTGAATAGACGAGAGCAGAACATCGATCCCCAAGCTGTCACCGTGGATATTGAGGAAGGCGGGTATGTGATCGGTCATCAAGGAGGACTTTGGTACAAGACTAAACCCATCCGTTCATTTGAGAATCCCTACGGAATAAAACAAGCTTGCCATTTCATTGAAGCTCAAGCATCACAGTCAAATCATTCTTTCGATCTGTATATCTCTACCAGGATTACACAAACCAATACTTGGGGATCTAGATTAAGCGTGCAACTAAAGTCTGAACAAGGGGGTAGCTTTGTCTCTGAAGGTTATAATCTACCCCCGCAACATCTCATGATGCTTGGAGAGTACTTGGATGAACATGGGAGCTTCACTGCTTTGTCACAGCCAGTGGACGAGGTGTGTGGGGAAGAGGAGGCAGAGGAGGAAGAAGCTGAGAATGGAGATGACGTTGCAGAAATTGAAGATGAGAGATCTATCACGAGTGGCACGACGGCAGTTGATTCAGGTTGGATGGATTGAGAACATTTAGGAGGAATGTGAGTGTTTTTGGTCTCGAGACTTGCTTCCAAGATGAGGATGAATGATGCACTAAGTAGCTCACGCGGCCATATTGATTAGACATGTTGGAAGGAAGCTCAACACAGCAATTATATCTCTATCTCCCTCCACCTTGCGCGCACAAGGTAATCCACTTGCTTGAAAGCCTTCCACTTTGGTGCATACATCGTTATGAATACAATCGGTTATCTTGATCACGAGGACACATCAATTCGGGTACCCGCTTCACAAGTCGATATCCTAAGATGTTGATGATGAAAGATGAGTGAAGGCGTGTGACACAAACAAAGGAGTGAATGACATCTACTGTAGCATGTCACTCACCCTGCTGACGCACGTTTTGTCACCTGAAAGGTCATCTTAACCCATGCCTTCTAACAGAGACCCCTATCCCTTTTGCCTTCTTACATGTCAATCATTGACACCTGTTGCATATACTATCCTTTCAAGTGATTCAGGTTGATCTCAGCTGACTCTAGGTATATATGATTGTGTGTACTGCATCTGATCTCATCAACACTTATCATCATGGACAACTCAAAGCACACTGAGAGAACCATGAGGGAAGAAAACTCAGATGGTGATTCTTCTTCATCCTATGAAGACACACACCAAGCAAGTGTATTAAGCTCCGCTGTAAACGCTTTGCACTGGTCCGCCTCATCTGCTCGAAATGGGCACGGTCTACCCACTCTGATCAGGGTCAGTGACTGACACGCACATGAAGCCCTGATGTTGACAGACAGATGCGGACTGGCCATGGGAGCGATGAACGGATGACTGTTGCCTTGTTTGGTAGGAAGGAAGTTCCGAAGAGAGGAATTTGCACCTCGATCGAACTCCTAGGTACATCTGATAGTCTTCCTCGAAGCGTCACCGAATTGTTTGTTCATGACCCGCGATACCCCAATAACATGGCCTGTAGCATACCTGAAGATGGCTTGTGGCCGCTTTTCAAGGCACATAAATCTCTTCATGGGTGAATACTATGTTCATATATGACTTCAATTGACGACACAGACCCGGTTCATACACGGGAGCGCTACGGGATAAAGATCTATCCCTTCTTGAAGTCCAAACAGATTTGGCATGGCCAGGTGGAAAGGATTTCAAGCCTTTGGTCTATGGTACTGATTTCAACAATATTTCTAAAGCATTATCTGAGTCATTCGTGATTGACCGGCGTCAATGGGTACTAAGGAATAAGACGGGAATTGTAGCCACCTTTGATACTCGTGTTTGTGAACCTTATGTGGCCCAAGATATCAAAGACTGGGAAACAGGGTTAGGTGCATTGGCAGAGGCGGAAAAGCAAGGTATTGTCATACAGACTTTTATGGTAAGTCTTTGCTCCATTACCCTCCTTTTCTCACCTTCTTCTGAGCCGAACAGATAATGCAAGTGTCTGTTAGTCACACCACCAACTCAGAACATGCAGAGACTGATCAACAGGCCCAATCATGTGGGAGTGGCTCCATATCACCCACTCTGGTATTTCCCGGTACAGGGGATCAGACAAGAAGCACAACTTTATCTGAGAATTACCATGCAAAGAAACCTAGTCGGAAATACCTTTCTGATGTGATATACAAGTCCATCACCAGTGCATTGTGAGCGCTCAATGCCTTCATAAAGAAAAAAGTAATGACAGGCAGGAATAATCAGGACGGAAACTCCCAAGGATTATCAATTCAAGTACGTCAATCCCGCTACAAGCGGACACGCCTTGGCCTCACACTTGCTGGCGCATTCTCGACCAAGTCTTTTGATCAATCTCATTCTATGTCTGAAATCTCCAGTTATGTGGAGGAAGAAGGCACTGGATATACGGGATTTATCGAGTTTTCTATCATTGCGAGCCCGACAGACGGAGAATCAAGTATGAACCAGGTTGTCAAGGTCCAATTTTTCGCACCGATGTGGAATAATCCTCGTGCGCAGAGGCCGTCCGAGCATACTCTGATGCTCGGAAGATACTTGTTAGCCCAAGGGGACATGTCTACATTGACAGGACCAGTTGAGGAAGTTGAGGATGATTATCCAAATGAAGGGATATCTAGTTCTGTGTTACAGAGTAACAACGAATGGAGAGAACTCCATTGAGTTTGACGGATTAGGATGGATAAGAACGGGAGTTGGAGGCAGTGCTGCATTAGGTAGGGATGGGTTTTCCCTTTTCGAGATTTCCCCACTGGGTTTGCTCAAAAGGGTTTTTTTACCTGTCCGAGTATGTACATAGACGCTTGCAGTAGGACTGAGAGGAGGACACGGATCCCTGTAGATAGTATATAGTACAATCAGCAAAGTACCAACTTTGCTGATTCTTCAATATCATTCTTTGGCTACATCGACTGCAGAGGAGACACGATTCACTAGCACCAGAGACCCCTAGACTGCTACAAGAGTTCCATCGAGTTCGACCCAACCTGCGACTTAGTCATCGTGTTTCCAGCACCTTTACAAGTTGAAGAATCAGCCTTACGCGCCTTGGATCGAAGTGGAAAGGATTGCATGCTTACCAGAGGAAACTCGCGGAAAATGATACCTGGAGATGAGGATTTGGAACAAGGGCTGGGCCCAGAGGCAGAAATACCAACAAGTTCTTTGAGAAGTACCATTTCACATGATTTCACTCCTAACACCCCTGCCCCAGACCCGCTGAATGAATTATTGTAGCAGCTGTCACAACTATTAGCCATTATGATGATGCAACAAAAAGAACAGAATGCATTAAGGGAAGAACTGGCTACGATTAAGGCTGACCAACAGAACGAACAGGGACCCATCTCCTTCCATGCCGTGTTAAAGGCCAGGATGTGAGCGGTGTGGAGAGCAGGATCACGAGCGAGACTAAGACTGGGTAACTTCCACAACTGACAAAGTGCTCTGAGACAGTCCACGGGAAGAGTCAGGATATCGAGGAAAGCAGCATCCCGAGAACTAAGACGAGCTGGTTGAGATAGTTTTAACCAGTCCAGTGTGGGGGGGAGAATATACTTGGTGGGATTCAGGAGGAAGGGAGAATTGAAGAGGTTGCGGTAAAAGTCGTTCATGTCCGTTGTGAGCTCTCGGGAGACTCTAGCTAACTCTGTCCTCACTGTTGGCCCTTATATCGGAGGAGTTCACAAGGGTAGCCATTGTCTGAGAGAGAGTATTCATCACAGAAACCACCTTCACGCAATATTCATCGAGCTTCCCCGTATCTCGTCTATTGGCTTGTAATTGCGTGGTCAAACCAATAATGACGGAACGGAAGGTAGCCAGTTGTTTCTCCTCCTCTTATATCCGAGGGTCGATAGCGATGGTGGGGTGGTTGAGGGAAGGAGGGATTTCCCCTGGTAGCTGAGTACTTTCATTGTCCACCACTGCCGGTTTGAATTGGACGGCTTTCTTCTTTCCTTTCCCTTTTGGAGACTTCGAAGGAGGAGTTTGTACAGGAGGGGCAGGAGTTGAGAGCCCAGTGGCAGGAGGGACAGATGGTTGACGGCTTCGGGTCCCAAGGGCGGGGGGGAGTGATAGAGGAGAGTCCTCTTGTGTTGAGACGGGAGTAGGACGAGACGAAGCGGCCGAAGCGGCCGACGGGACAACTGAGAGACGAGATGGGCCAGCTGCAAGAGTAGAAGGCCGAAGGGCGGCGGAAGAAGCACGACGAGGAGTATGACGAGACGGAACCTGCCGAAGGAGTGGCAGGGAGACGAGACGGCCCAGCCGCAGGAAAGGTAGGCGGGGGACGCGCGGCGGGTGACGGCAAAGTAGGGCCGGGAGAGGAGAAGTTCGCCGAAGGGGAGCGCAAAGGATAGTCCCCGTCTTACACTGTGGGGAGACGGCGACGGACAGCGGTGGACGGAGTGTACGAGGGCCCGGGAGGAGCAGAAGATCTAGGAGGGATGCCCCGAGCGGTGTTGGGGGGACAGAACGAGCAGGGCCCAGACGTGCAAGAAGCACAACGGGAGCCGCAATTATGAGGTTTGACCGGTCGTAAACACGGCCATTTCGTTCTCCCGTATGTGATAATTTCACGGCTATTGATCAGCAGATGTATGAACCCCTATGGAAGGAACCTACCGACACCTATCACACGACTCATCTATGCTGGCAACCTCCCATCGTTCCCTCTCATTGGAGAACAACTGCCATAACCTCTCCTGCTCTCGCAACGATGCCTTGCAAGCACTCCCTGGCTCGTGGGGAGTGGAGGGAGACAATCCCGCCAGTCCTGTAGAGGACCAAGGTGTCTCTTTAACCCGTTTTGCCGAAGGAGGAGTTACTTCGTCGTGGGCGGAAGGGGAGCGACAACGTTTCTTGGACTTCATGTCACGGGGTGGTTTCTTCGTCAACTTCCTAGGACCGACGGACAATAACTTGGTGGGCTCTGACCTTTGAAAACCTTGTTGTTCGAAATATGAAACAGGTGACAATAACTTCTGGGTGTAATAACTTCGTACTTTACTGACTTCTATCACTAAGACAACAACCAGAGATTGTCAAAGATCTCTGTGAACTTCGGCCCTTAAGTACTTCGTCCTTCCCTAACTTCTTCAACGCAGAACTTCGTTCAACCCGAAGTCCCGAGCTTCGTACCTCACGCGTGCCTCCCTAACTTCATACCTCCCTAACTTTGTACCTCCCTAACTTCGTACCTCCCTAACCTCGTATCTCTCTAACTTCGTACCTCCCTAACTTCCTACATGACTAACTTCGTCCTCAACGAAGCTAGCCTCCTATTACCCTTGTGGGTGGTGAAGTTCATGAGAACTGGATCGTTGATGGCGAACTGATGTCCAAAGGAACCTCGTTGATGGGAAAAGATGATGTCACGTGGTACCACGTGACAGTCGCCCCCTCCTTGAGCGTGAACGTCCTCGTGAGCGGACATCAACGCCGAAAAGAACAAAACAACTCAGCATGAAGTTCGGGTCTCACTCTTCTCCTGAAAGCCAACTTCCTGATAATGTAATTCCCGTAATGACCAGGAACATCTGAAACCTCCTTTGGCTACGCCACAGTCCTCACAACAAGATTGCCATGTACCGAACATCGTAACTTGCCTCCTTGATATTGAAAAATCGTGGGGGAAATCCGTATGTAACAAGAAGATTGTTACGGAGTAACAACGAATCGAGAGAACTCCATCGAGTTCGACGGATTAGGAAAGAGAACGGCGAGAGTTGGAGGCAGTGCTGCAGTAGGTAGGGACGGGTTTTCCCTTTTCGAGATTTCCCCACTGGGTTTGCTCAAAAGCGGTTTTTCACCTGTCCGAGTATGTACATAGACGCTTGCAGTAGGACTGAGAGGAGGACACGGACTCTTGTACATAGTATATAGTGCAATCAGCAAAGTACCAACTTTGCTGATTCTTCAATATCATTCTTTGGCTACATCGATTGCAGAGGAGACACAATCCATCACATGGCACCAGAGACACATAGATTTCCACAAGACTTCCATCGAGTTCGACCCAACCTGCGACCTAGTCATCGTGTTTCCAGTACCGTTACAAAGATATGACAATGACAGAAGAATTTCATGTATGGGGAATGAGGAGCAATAATCTGTTCGTGAGCGTAGTATCCACCAATGTAAGTACGAAACTCCTTAGCCTGAAAATTTTCTCTCGTATCCAGGGATCTTTGTGGTATCCCGGTCTCCATGAAACACAACATTGACGACGGGAACGCCCTTATCTGTTGTCAACAGCAACGGATTTCCCCTTATACTCGGTAAGTTGACGAACTTCCCTGTTACGGAGTAACAACGAATCGAGAGAAATCCATCGAGTTCGACGGATAAGGAAAGAGAACAGCGGGAGTCGGAGGCAGTGCTGCAGTAGGTAGGGACGGGTTTTCCCTTTTCGAGATTTCCCCACTGGGTTTGCTCAAAAGCGGTTTTCAACCTGTCCAAGTATGTACATAGACGCTTACAGTAGGACTGAGAGGAGGACGCGGACTGTTGTAGATAGTATATAGTGCAATCAGCAAAGTACCAACTTTGCTGATTCTTCAATATCATTCTTTGGCTACATCGATTGCAGAGGAGACACGATCCATCACATAGCACCAGAGACACATAGATCTCTACGAGACCTCCATCGAGTTCGACCCAACCTGCAACCTAGTCATCGTGTTTCCAGTACCGTTACATTCCCCCCTAACTTCTTCAATTTTAAAATTCTCTTCTTACATCTCAACCAACTCTCCCACTAAATTTATCTTTAAATACCCACCATGGCCCCGTCTACACCTCAAAAACTCGTCAAATCTCCTCCTTCCAACGTTGCCCGAAGGACTCGAAGCAGTGAGTTCGAATTGCCTGAGAATTTCATCGAGAACTTTTGTGTCATGGCTGATGTTAGTGTCCCGGGTTCAGTCTCCCCCTCCTGCTCCCCCTTCCTCCTTCGTCCGCCGCCTTGCCAGCTCGGCTGGCCTTCGCCTCTCTTCTCTCTCGGCTGCTCTCGCTTCGCTGTCGGCGTCTTCCTCGTCTTCCGCGCCTCCCGCTCCCGTCGCCGGTCCGTCCTCGACCCCGGCCAAGAGAAAAACTCCCTCGAAAGAGGCGAGTTTAACAAGAAAATCTTCCATCCTTCGGTCTCCTAGGAAGAGACATCGACAAAATTCTTCACCAATATCGGTGTCCTCTTCCTCTTTGTCCGCTTTGTCCTCGCCCACCCCCGCTCGCAAACGGGTACGGGTTGAAGCCCCCTCTTCCTCGCCTGTTCCTCGCTCGAAAACGGTAAGAACTTTGGCCAGTCTCTTGGTCCTCCTCGCGGCCCAACCTGGAAGGTGGGAGCTGGCTCCCAAGGGTGAGGAGTGTGAACGCTGCCGGTGAGCAATTGTCACGAAGTGACAAGACAGTTTGATAGTGATTATGATAGGATGGGTTGGGTATTTAACCAGCGACCGGCGGTTTGCAGTAACCGCCGGTTAATCGGCCTTTTAGCGCAGTGGTTTAGACCACTGTCTCTGAAGGGCACTGTTATATCGTCCCAATGCTGGTTAGTTGGTCTTGTGACAGCAATTCAATTTTCTCAGAAAAGCGTTACAGATCCTAACTCCCAGTGACAAACAATCTCGTCACCCAAACTTCCCCTGTGTTCGTCCCTGTGGTACCAACCGTGGTACACGATGTGCATCGTCCACCTCTGGCGTCTGCTCCTTCCTTCCCCCTTCCCCTGCTAAGCAGAGGAAGGTCTCGACAACTTCTCGTTCTTTGCCCGTCGCTCGCCCGCCGCCCGCTGCTCGTCGTTCGGTGTTCGCGACAGAATCTCCTTCGTCGTCAGACGAACTTCCCGGTCTTCCTCCTCCTCTTCCTCCCTCGGTCTCCTTCCGTGCCGCTCGCCCTGGTGCTCCCCTATGGGAGTTGTCTCCTTCCCCCCCTCCTCATGGTCCTTGTCCTCCTTGCGCTCCTCCTGTCGTCGACCTTCGCTCCCCATCGCCAAATGTTCCCGGGGCTTTTGTTGTTCCTGCTCCTCCCTCACCTCCTCGCCCGTCACCCACGCCATCTTTGTCATCGTCGTCGTCGTCCGAGGGCGTTCCTCCCTCACACCGGAGGAGATCATCGCGGACCTCAAGGAGCTAGTCGAAGTTCTCACCTTGGACAATTTGAAAACAGAGAAACGGTTAGCAGCTATGACCGTGGTGGCTCTTCGTGCCGCAGACATGATGGACGTACAAGGGGTCATCATTTGTTGTTTCCTTAACCAAATTCGTCTTTTAACCCGGAACTTATCGAAGAAAAGTTCTCATATTGGATCTGCTACTCATAGTTTGCTCCTCCAATGGAACGAACTACTCCTTCTGTCACGCCTGCGGGTAGACTGCGGTAGCAAAGGACTGCCTTGAGTACTGAAGGGGTTAGTCTCTGGCTCGCCTTACCTTAGATACTGAGGGGACTGAGAGTGTTGGGTTAAAACCAACTGAGTGACGAATTTCCTGTTCTAACCGTAAAAGTCAGTAATATTAGAACAAGAGGAAAAGAGATCCATTGATGGGGAAACTACAAAATATGGCCGGCTTATATAGACATCAGCACGAATGATTTCCCAATGAGATTTCCAACGACATCTTCAAATCCTTACATTTCTGCTCGGTGAAGTCTACACTTTTATTAGGTGAGATTCACGCCTAAGTATGATGTCACTGAGATCTACGGTGAACAATTCCGAAGCATGATGTCACCATGACATCATCTACTAAGCCTGTCTGCTAATCCATGACAGGAGCTCCCCCTCTAAGGGCGAAGTCCTCTGAGCCTTGTTGATCTATGTTCAGCTCTTTTAGTCTTACCTTGAGTCAATACTTGTTGGTTTTGACGATGTGCCTTTACTGGCGGAAATTGGTGTTGTGGGTCCTTAGAATGTTGTCGGTGGAATGTTTTGTAAGCTGTGGTGTGATAGACGTTTTCCCAGGGTTCCCAGGAGTTGTGAGCAATGGAAAAGTCTTTCCAATTGACAAGGTAGTCATAACCATTGTCAGGACCAATGCGTGAGTCTAGGATACGGTTGACAATGTACTCTTCCTGACCATTGACTTCTATGCGTGGTGGAGGATCTTGCGGTTGTTGAGGGTGTCCTTTGCGCATAGGTTCAAGAAGGTTGACATGAAATACGGGGTGTATGTTCATAGTTGGTGGTAGGTCTAGCTTGAAAGCAAGAGGAGAGGATGTGGCTTCAATGATCTTGAATGGGCCAAGCATCTTCTGATCAAGTTTTAGTGACGGACGTAGTGTTTGAATATTCTTTCTATTGAGGAAGACTTCATCACCTATCTTGAATAGTGGTTGGTCTTTATTGTTGATGTCCTTGACTTTCTTGTTGAAGTATCTTGTGTAATTTTCTTGAGCTAACTTGATGTTATTAGCTAAGGTTTGTTGCAAGTCTTGCAAAGTTTGGAGGTGATCTTTTGCTGCGGGAACAGAGAGTGAGGATGGTGGAGGAGATGTTGGATCATGTGGGTGGTAACCATAATTTGCTTGAAATGGGGTAAGCTTTGTTGATGTGTGAACTGAGTTGTTGTAGCTATACTCTGCTAAGTCTAGAAAAGATGACCAATTTGCTTGATCATAGTCACAGAATGATCTGAGGTAATGTTCTAAGACTTGATTGACTCTTTCTGTCTGACCATCTGATTGAGGATGGAAAGCTGTAGAAAAGTTTGGAGTAATTCCTAGTCCTTTGACAAAAGCACGCCAAAACTGAGAGTTGAAGACTGATCCACGATCTGATACAATATCCTTGGGTATTCCATGAAGTCTCCAAATGTGTTGTCTGAACATGGTAGCCAAGTTGGGCGCATCAAAACCATCTTCTTTGAATGGGACAAAGTGGGCTTGTTTAGTGAAGCGATCAACAAAAACCATGATGGAGTCATTGTTATTTGATAATGGGAGTTTGACAATAGCATCCATGGAAATGGATTGCCATGGTTGTAATGGAATAGGTAGTGGTTGCAGTGGTCCATAGGGTTTATGACGAGGGACTTTGTTCCTTGCACATGTATGACAGCCATTCACATATGTGTTGGTGAACTGTTGTATGCCAGGGAAGTAATAGTGACGGGAGAGAAGTTGATATGTTTTGTGTTGACCATAGTGTCCAGAGGTAGGAGAATTATGTGTTTGCTGAAGAAGATCCATCTTGACTTCATTATTGTTTGGGACATAAATTTTATTGTTGTAATGTATAATGTTGTCCTTTATACTGAAATCCTTGAGCTTTCCTTGAAGTCCTTGAGGTACAGGAGTAGCGGGAGATTGCAGATAAGGCAAAAGCTCTTGAAGGATGGGATCCTCAGGCTGTAGTTGCTTTATCCTAGCAAACATATCTGAATGTGGTGGTGTGTTGGGGGTGTCTGGAGGAATGAGAGCACCAATGACAAATTGTCCTGGTTTGAGTAGTGTGTGTGGAGGTGCGTCTGCAGCTCTACTCCCCCCTTGAAGATCTGACCTCCTGGTCAGGGCATCTGGTTTGCCCATCTTGGTTCCAGGTCGATAATGTATTTTGAAGTCAAAATTTGCTAATAATTCTGCCCACCGTGCTTGTCGGCGGTTGAGTACCTTGGATGTTGTGAAATATTCTAAATTTTTATGATCTGTGAAAACTGTGATTTCCTTAGTTCCTTCAAGATATGGTCTCCAATGTTTGAATGCTTCTACAATAGCAAGCATTTCTTTATCATAAATTTCATAGTTGAGTTCCGCAGGTTGAAGTTTCCGGGAGTAAAAAGCAATGGGATGGAGTCTGTTGTTGTCTGAGTGGGAGAGAACACCTGCAATGGCAAAGTCAGATGCGTCTGTCTCCACAACAATAGGTTTACTTGGTTGGTAGTGTTGAAGTATAGGTGCTGAGGTAAATGATTTTTTCAAAGTGTCAAAAGCATTTTGTTGAGTGTCACCCCATTCAAACTTGACTTCCTTGCGAAGGAGTTGAGTCAGGGGTGCTGTGACCTTGGAGTATGCCTTGATGAAACGACGATAGAAGTTGGCAAAGCCAAGGAAGACTTGAACATCATGCACTGTTTTGGGGGGTGGCCAGTTTGTGACTGCTTCTACTTTATGAGGGTCCATTCTGATTCCTTTGTCTGAGACAAGGTATCCTAGGAAGTCAACCTCATGTTTGAAGAAGGTACACTTTTCTGCCTTTGCCCATAGTTGATGTTGTTGGAGTCGCTCCAAGACTTTCTTGACGTGGGTGATATGTTCTTCCTTTGTATTACTGAATACGAGAATGTCATCCAAATAGACAATGACAAAGTTATCTAGAAAGTCTCTGAGAACATCATTGATGAGGTTCTGGAAAGAGGCGGGGGCATTTGTGAGACCAAAGGGCATCACAAGATATTCATAGTGTCCATAACGAGTGCGGAATGCTGTCTTCCATTCATCGCCTTTGGCAATGCGGACTTGATTGTAGGCAGCACGCAAGTCAATCTTGCTGAACCATGAAGCACCTTTGAGTCGATCGAGGGATTCTTGAATTAACGGGAGTGGATAGCGATTTTTGCGAGTGATACTGTTGAGTTGTCGGTAGTCCACACATAGGCGGAGTGTTTTATCTGGTTTCTTGACAAAGAGTATGGGTGATCCAGCTGGGCTTGAGCTTGGTCTGATAAATCCTTTCTTGAGATTTTCCTTGAGATATTCATCCAAAGCCTTTAACTCTACTTCAGATAGACTATAGATTGGGCCAAACTTAGGCTGTGCATTGCCTTCAAGTGTTATGGCATGATCATATGGTCCATGTTCTGGGAGCTTGTCAGATTTGGATTTACTGAATACTTCCAAATGAGAATGGAAGTCTGCGGGGATGATTTCCTTAAGTTTCTGAATGTCTGTGGGTGTGTCATCATCATCATCCTCTGCTGGTTGAGGATCAATGAGACTTGAGACTTGACTTGAGGTTGTGATTCCATAAATTTCTGCATTCTTAATGGCAGAGCGGAAAGCTGCTGCACTGACAAGGGATATCTTGACAGGAGCCTGAGGTGAGAAGGGAGACGAGAGTAGTGTGTTGACCTTGGTTGTTTTCCTTGAGTTAGCAATGTTGTTGCTGTTTCCTTGATTGATATTTCCTTGATTGATATCTCCTTGATTGATATCTCCTTGATTGATATCTCCTTGATCGATGTTTCCTTTGTTGGTTGATGGCGTACTTGCAGCATTTTTGCTGGGCAAGTTACCTGAGCTCGAGATGTTCCTTGAGTTACGAGGGTACTGAAGAGCAGAATCTCTTCCCACAGGTTCATCAGGCCTGCTGCACTGCTCCAGGCAGTACGGGGAATTGAACTTGATAGTCTGATGGGACCAATCAATGCTTGGGTTGTGTCGAGAGAGCCATGGGAGTCCCAAGATAACGGGATAGGTGCCAAGTGAAGTGATGTCAAGGGAGATTGTTTCCTCATGACTGGGAAGGCACATTTGAATGGGTGCTGAGTGATGTGTGATGGCGCCAGAGTTTATAGGTCGTCCATCAATAACTGAAACTTCAAGAGGTGTGTCCTTGGGTAGCCTTGGGATAGTTGTGGTATTGAGGAAGGTTGAGTTGATAAAACTGGCTGTTGCTCCAGAATCTATCATAGCCATAGTGTTGTAACGAGAGTTCCCAAACATGAGAGTGATGGGAAGACAGAGGTGGTCCTTGGGTGTAGCTGGTGAAAGTGTCATAGGTAATAGCGTTGTAGCCGTGATCCATAGTTGATTTATTGATACTGTGTTGTGCCCTGTAGAGAGCCCCAGAGGTGGGGGCATGCCTAAGCCTGGGGTTGGAAGTTTTTTGACTCCGTGTCAATAGTTGCGGTGATTGCATTGACTTGAGCTTTATTTTCACGACGACGTTGAGCAGCACGGCATTCGAAAGCTTTGTGTCCAGGTTTCCCACAATAGTTACAGAGGTTATTCTTCATACGGTGTTGACGCTCTGCTTGGGAGATAGGACCATAAGTTTGATGTGCTTGAGTTGCATCAATCTCCATAGGAGTTGGAGTATAAGTTGTGGTTGTAGCACGAGGGACAAAAGTGTTGTTGGACTTGGGAAGAGTTGTGGTCTGTCACGAGACATACTGACCAGCATATGCACGATATAACAGTGCCCAACGGAACAGTGATCTTAACCACTGCGACGAAAAGGCCTATTAATCGGCGGTTAACCCTACCGCCGATCGCTGG